AGGAGATTTTCAAGCTCAGAGCGCACACATTTATCAAGCATAATTTTTCTCATTTCGGGTGGTATCTGCGTGGAACGACCTTCCTCCGACTGTTGTCCACGCTCCTTCTAGAACCCAGTCTAAATCACTATTAGACATTTATTTATGCGAATCATCGCGCTGGGAACATAAGGAGCAGCACAGCACCCCTTTTTCACTTGTGCCTTTTAGGTGAATGACAGCCACTGACCGACAAGAACAAAAGCGACCCGGGAAACTTGGCAAAAGCCTCGATCCTGTGTATCAATGCGTTAAATCCCTGAAGTGAGCGAGCTTTCAAGGTCACGGACCCCCACTGATTCGCATCTCGTTACGGGTTTACGCGAGGTGAGAGAAAATCGTACTTCCGTTTACGTTGTACTCTTCGGTGATCTTTGAAAAGAGAAAACTGCTAAAGAATATTCAACGCGAAATTCACCCTGAAAGTCGGTCGTTGATGCTTGTTTGCTCTACACTCATCATATTTAGCAAATGAGATTATTTTGTTCGGCGAAGCTGCTCACAACACATTTCCCATGGATCTCAACTTCTATTAGGTACAACAAGGCCAGACAACAGCATGAACTGTGCAGTGCGGATGTGGGGCCATTTATGTGGATGATCCCCCCAGATATGCATAATCAGCTTGCGGATAATACAGCACGAATAGATTGCTTTAGCATTCATTTCCACTATGAATATGACAGTCTGTATGTAGTGGCCGCCATAAAGCTGTCCCCATGATAACTGCAGACGTTGCCACTCGCCCAGACTACTTCTCGTAAATGCTGGGTCCGAGTCTATTTTCGCGCAATTTATGGGGCCTCACCTATACACGGCAGCCTTATCCAATAGCCAAAGACGGCCTTTCATATCCATAACTGTACGCGGTGGCGCCAATATTTGCTGCCTATAGTAAACACCAGGCCGGTATCCATGCGGGCCGGTAAAAATAAGGCCTCAACTATATGTGAGAGCCTAGTCTGACGGACTGTTATACTCGATGTCAACTTACTTGGCTGCTTATTGTACCCGCTAGATCCGTATCCACATGCGGCTTTGATTAACCGGTAACCTTATCCAACCTAATGTGTCGTACTCGTAACTGTACGCGTTGTCGCTTATCTGTGCTACTTATGATAAACGCCGGGCCAGCATTTATGCGAATCGATCAACACGCGGCCCAAAATATGCACACATCTAATCACATGGCGAACGACGGATCTCATTTTCTTTACTAATCGCAATACCGCCTACCTCGACTACTTTTTGAAACTGACAGGCCAGTGCCTATATGTAACGCTGATTATTGGGCCTCAACTAGGCGCGGTGCCCTAATCTAAAGGCTAACGCCGGCCCGTCATACCCATAACTGTGCGCGCTCCCGATTATGTCTGCTTCCTATGGTAAACACCAGAACAGTATCTATAAGGGCCGATAAAAACGAGGCTCTAACTATGCATGATGTCCTAATATAACGACCAAAGACAGCCAATCATACTCGCAACTGTAGTGGATGCCGCCTACCTTGGCTACTTATCGTTATTGCAAGGCTTGTGTCTATGTGCAACGCTGGGTAGGAGACCTCACCTATGCCAAGTTGCCCATTCTAATGGTCAATGACGGCACCTCATACTCATAACTGTATTCGATGTCACCCTCCGAGGCTACTTATGGTAACTTCTGGGCCCGTGCACATGCGCGTAGCTGACTACAATGCCCCAACTATGCATAATAGACTAATCCAACGACCAACGACGGCCCTTCATATCCATACGTCGTTCACCTACGAACCCCATGCTTAAAAAATACACAACCACCTTTAGCAAATTATATTTCCACTTATTGGTTCGATGGGTACAAACATGCTGTGTGGTCAATCCAGTACTCAGTCTTTTGCTCGACTTTTACTTACGGCTTACTTCTTCGACTCGTAGACATCTCCCGCGATATCATTTAAAACACACGATTAAACAAAGTTGTATTTGCTAACTCACCGAATGCTTAACAAATCTCTTTGTCTACAATTATCGGTCAGTGTCTGCGCTGAACCTGTTATAAAGGTAAACTCACTACTTACTCAAATAGTCCAGTTAGTGATAACAAGGGAGAAGTGTGGACATCAATGATTCGATAGCGGGATTCGGCAACCGTATACACTACTGGGCGCAAAGACGATGAAGCTAGAGACGGATGTTTAGCTGTCAGTCTGAAGACCAAATGGTGTAAAATTTGGCCCTAGGATACAAGGGACACGCGCCTCCTAAAACGTGCACTCGTGGATGCAGCCTTAGCGAAGATCTAGTGAGTTGGCGAGCACTAAATCTCATGTTCACTCGATTTCTGCTCACTGATACCGATAAAATGTAGCTTAACAAAATCGACAGCAAGGTCTTCCTCATCAAAACTCACAACATAAACTACATAAGCAATCTAACCAACAAGGGGCACTCTTCTGGGCTTCATCTAACTCATCGTGCACGTTGAAGTATCGCAACCCATCTTCACTTTTGAAATCATGTCAATTATGTCCGAATAAATGAGCTAGTAAGATAGCCAAACCTGATGCGATTTCAACTGTCTCAGATAATGATGATGATCTAGCTGGGGACTGTAAGGAAACATTCTCCAGTGGAAATCCCCGGTGCACAACCGAAAAATCGCTATGCAACTGTCGCCTTACGGGTTTGCCGACACCGACCCGCATGAGCCATGGTTTTGAGACAACCGTTGTCAAACACCTGAAAACGCCTTGGTTCCCCTTCTCAAACATGCCAGATCTCACAACCACACAGCAGAACAGTCCGTACTACAGCTTGGTACACATGCCACTTGATATTCACGAATATACCGCCTTGGCACTATAGGTGTTTAAAATTAGCAAATGCGACCCGAGCATTGCAGGTTCGTGCATTGACCTCATCTGTCACACCACAAAAAACTAATATAACTTCGAATGTGTATAAAACACTACACCACACTACCTCTCTAACGGGATTGGAAAAATACCTGCCATCCTGTATAAGCTTCGCTCGACCTCCGAGGATTTTCTCGGCCAACCAAAAACAACCCCCTCCTCACAGAATTGCACATCCCAGACCAAAAAATAATTTTGCGGCCACATATGTGCCGGAACTAATTAACGCAATTTTGCGCAGTGCGAAGATAAGTTTCTTTCATTCATGATTTTAGTTTTAACAGGCACAATACGCCAATGATTCATGGGAATTGAAAATTCTAAAGAGCGTTCTTAATTCTTAAGAACGTGTTTTAATTTGGATTGTACAATGAGAGGTGAAGAGAAAAGTAGACAGAACATGTAGAGGAAAAACAAATCTTTCGATTGGGGATAACCCTGTCAAACAGATCAAATGTTTATTGAGTTGGACAGGTCTGAAAGAACACGAGGTTTTAAACCGGAAATAATCAATAAGGGGTAAGAACTAGCCAAGTCGTTTGGTTTGAAACTACCCGATATGAATTTCGAGGAGAAAATAGTTCAAAGATGACGAATATAAGATGGTCAAATCTGGATGGGAGGGATAGGAATAGCGGGTGTGTGGGTAGAAACACGAAAGTGCACTGAGCCACATACAAACCAGGAAACGAAAAAAGTTCCTTGTGACAGTCCGGATTTTTCTGAATTCCACTTGGTTCTGTAGGTTTATACACACTGTTCTTCAAAGTCGAATTCCGGAGGATCAGGAGGAATAAGCTTCAATTTGCTTGGAATTCGGTGCAGTTCTAGACCACAAAGGCGAACTTTCATGTCCAGTTCGAGTAATCGTTGAACATCTTCACGGAACAAATCACTGAAGCACTGAATAATGCAATTCGGTTGACGACTATGAGTTTGCGGATCGTAACGGCTTGTTTAAAATAAAATGTTGACAGAGACCATTTTCGCAGTCCTGAGTCACAAGTGCTCATGGGACTGCAGAAGTGATGCTAATGCTAATTCTATACTGATGACAACTTTTATAATAGTTTCAAATCACTGGACTAATGCAATAGGCACAACGGCACCAGATGAGTAACAACTAAGTTGAGGGCAGATGTGTTGTTACAGTGGATGAGCAATTCAACGAAATAGTGGCGAGAATTCAGGGTCAGAAGGACAACGAACTTTTAGCAATAGGACTCAACTAATAGCTGGTAGTGTACCGAAATATTGGTAGATCGGGTGAGTTTGTAGGTTGTTGATCTTTTCGCCTAGCTTGACAAGTGGCTTGCGAGCTTCGTCACCATACGAGGGGACATAATTAGTGTGCAGTTGAGTCGGTACTTCCTGTCTGCCTGTGTGCGTATATACAGCGGTTGAGGACTGGGTGATTAGGGACAGCATCTTCGTACATTTATTGGTCCGCTGTGATCCTTTTGGATTACGGTCTGTGCTAAAACCTTCTTTCCTAGTAGTTTCGTCGTTTGCTTTGATCGGTCAACGGAATTTTTAAAAATTTAAAACGGACTCGATATTCAGTCTCAGAACCAACAAAGGTCTGGTTCTGAACAGCGACAGTCACTGGTAAACAATACGCACGGGATGAACCGAAATCGGTGTCTGGTACTCGCTCATACCAGTATTCTTCTCTAAATTTTTTTTCTAATTGGTGTCCCTATATATTTTTCTTTATGATGAATTAAAGTCGGGGTTAAGAACAGTGCAAGTGACTCCATTACATTATCAGATATGCACTACCAACCAGCCATCACGGCAAAGGGATGCGCTGTCTATTTAAAAAAGACCGTAGTCAGATAAACTACTCTACCAATCTTCACCATCAACTGGATTTTTCTGACGAAGTAGACAGTAATCAAATCACCAGCCGCCGAAGACTGGCCGGGTACGGGTAAACGGCGTTTTACTATTAGAGAATAGGCCATTTGATGGTCCTGTGCACGTCCATTTAATGAGTTCCAAGGAGGTCAAAGGCTACGTATGACTGTGCCTTAAGGGGTCCAGCCGGACTCCGCACCCTTCACTTGATAATGAGTAGGCTACTTGGATAAAAATCGGAACTTTGAACTAAGGTAACAGTTGGCTAGAATACAGTATACATTTGTAACTTGACTGCGTATGAAGCAATTATGATATCAGCATGACTCGCTTCATCTGGTCTAAATGATTTCCTCTCAGTCTCCATAGTTGAGGCCCATCAGATTGGAAAATTCCATGAACGAGACAACGATCAGTATTTGAAGAAACAAGGTCAGTTGGTCTCAAAATCCAAATAGTCTCACTGATCTTGCTTCAGGTTTCCAAACACCTAACCAAAGTACACGTAAAAACTTCATTGAAAAGTGCACTACGCTAGAATACTATAACGTTTCACCATTTCATAGGTACACTAATTTTGGACAGACCTAGGGTTGCGCGAGAACGGTGTCACTACCGATCTGAGAACAGAAAACTAGGAAAGAAAACCAGACAAAAAACTTCTACTACGACTACTATCAACCATCGTTCAAACAGACGCCACACGGAAAAATGGAGCCCATAATTAAAAAACCGGATCGTTGAACATACGTCACGATTTAGCAGAATACTGAACCCATCCATCCAGTATGAGTGATCCAAGACCGTTCGAGCCAGTAACAGAACTTGAAGAGGCTCAGGTGATTCCCGAATCCGCATGTGAAGCACAAGAGTCTTTCCGAAAACAAAACGGAGGGGGACAGGAAATTATGAGGATGATGTGGTGCATGTGGTTGGTTCCAACGAAGGTAAACTAGCAAATTCAGTCATTAACCAAAAAGAAAGAGTCGACGAAAGTTCGTGAAGATATCAAAGGCCATGGAGGGGTCGCATTATACACGGGAGATTCTAGAAATTATTAGAATTCTGGTTTAAAAAACGCAGACAATAAAGGACAAAATGTCTTATCCCGATACGGACAGAATAGGGTTCTAAAAGGTGGTTGAAGAAAATTGATTACTCTTAGGCATAGTCTGACACCCTTACAAAAGAAACACCCCAGCTAAACAACTTGTGCTTCAGAAACAGGTGATTCGAAAAAGTGTTTGTAACCTCACGTCTAAAAAATATCTTGGTAATTTAAAGATATCTGACTGACGAATAAGAAGTCAAAAAAATCAGATGTACATCTCATAACTCGTCATAACAACGATGACAAATAGGTACATGTCGTAGAGCACATCCGTCTCTAACAGTAATACAAGTGAACAACTTTACATCACAACTGGAAAAACGGGCTCACTAAATATGTATACAAATTCTGAGATAAAGTTGCGCATTTCGCGCGGTAGTCAAATTTTCAACAGAGGCCATGAAAAACCTACCCGTTCAGGATTTTTCTTCAGTCTTTCATCCGAACCAGTGCTGACCCTATCCACGCACGCTAAGGGCCCTGAAGAGAAGGTAAGGAGACGAATAGGAATACATAAAGATAAACCATCAAAAAAATGTCCGCCGCATCGCCCTTGGTGGCTGTGCAACCTCGAAGGATACTTATACTTCAGGCGTGAGTAGCCTTTTGATGTTACTGAAAATGTCAAAACCTGCGTATTACGCAGGAGAAAAATATCGGAAGCGCAGTTAATATTTTGGACTTTTCTCTGAACTTCACGGCTCCAGTCTTTACTATTTATTTTTTTCATTTATTTATTTATTTATTCATTCATTAACCTAGCGACGTTGGAAGCACAATGTGAAGCGACGCGACGATGATGGTCCATTGTCGACTGCGTACACTCAGCGAAAGGAACATGTGCCTCACAATACAAGGGAGTCGTAGTTTCTTCATCCATCACAATGTCATGCCAATGCACATCAGAACACGATCGTTCCGAACATTACCATCCACAATGTCTCACATTTTAACATTGTAACACATTTTAACTAGTTCATAAGGTTGCGTGGATAATGAGTGATATTATATTGGTCAAAAATAGAGTAAATGCCCCTCGCCTGAGCCTGTTTTATTGTTCTCAGAGATAAGCTATCGTTTGACGAATATGAATTCAGTACCTCCACGTGCATCTTTCGATGGTGGAGCGATGGCTGGAGTAACCTGGTTGCAATACATTTCGTTTTCTCGAGTGAGATTTAGTGGATGAACTTCAAACGATTGGGTGACACTCGGTAAGTTAAATTGATGCACTGAGCCTGCTCGTTTTACTGGTTCGTATCAATAATGTGTTTTGCAGTTACACTGGTCACATTTTTATTCTGTCAGGCTGTAATGCAGAACGGTGAACGCTCAACTATTCTTCCAGAATAGGCATCGAGTAATGCAACTCACATTGTTTGCAGAACACTTGCAAACAAAGGAATATATTAGCGATAGTGAATATTGGATGTGGGGATGTAAGAAAGAATCGAACGAATGTGTCTACTGTTGGCCTCCTGAACGGAATCCGCTTAAGCGCACTCGGGCGCTCGAGATCAATGGTGGCTGGTTTAAGAACACGTTGACACTCCTGATATGAGCAGCGCTGGGAATTCTTGCCAGCAGATGACGTCACTGCAAAGCACGCCTCGGGTGTAGGGTTTAAGTTGATTTGGATTGGGTGGGCCGATGAAGAAACAAAAATTCTTCTCGTTACTTATAAGGAAAGAGAGTAATAAGCAGAGTTAAGCTGCTCAGCTGTGCTATCAGTGATGAATAGCTCTAGTTTACATATGGGTAAAAACAAGTCGCACACAGGAGGACAGAACTATCACTCCAATATCAACGCAGTTTGGAGTGTTCGTGGGGATGGCGCTTAACAAAAATGATCTAGCTTGAGGGCGCCCTCCTCCCGGTTTTTCGATATACATAGTAAAATAAGTTGACACGAGAAAATCTGAATGAAAATTTATCAACACAGCACACGGTTCATACTACTTGTTTAAAAACACACGGAAGAAATGTACCGTTCAAAATGATCAGTACACCTCCGCTTTATCGCTTTAGCCAATTGCTTGCAAGTATCCGGAAAAGGATAAATGACGCGAACTAGAAGAATGTTTCATCACAGCGTTCTTGCTCACACACCTATATATATATATATATATATATATATATCAATTTAAAAAGTTTGTAGGTACAATTGTAGTGTAACTGTAGTATAATTTAACGCAAAGTTTTGAGAATTCCCAAATTCAAAGTAACACAAAGAAGGCAAAATATTATTTTCACAAAACTCGAGCAACGATTTCTGGTTGACGTGGAATAGGTAGAGTAATAACGATAGGAACAAGGCACAAACGGAAGCCACTTGAATACAAATAAATGTATCGTACCACAATGAAACCAAAAGCTCTGTTGTAAGAGGGTTAGCAAAGACCTATTCCATATCAAGCCGAGATCTATTATAACTAGGTTACTCGTGTTACCTGTTAAACAACAGAATAGCGGGGTTCACTATAAGCCACACTCTAGTGGGATGTAATTCATTAAGAAAAATGCGCATTTACTGAGGGCAAGAACACACCAAACTAGTTTTAGTGTGTTGCATCAGAAGGCATGGCAACCCCGTGTTTACAACACAGCGACTGAAAAAAACGGCAGAACGGCAGAACTAAATGTAACAGAGTGGACGACATTGTTGCCGACAGGTCGTACATAACATATCGACATACGAGCAACAAACACCCACAGTCGGACACTTCAACAAATCGTTAGGCCCCCGGACCCCGAACACCCAGAGCCCTAACGTGCGGTTAGAAGTAAACCAATGGAGCTTCCTAGGGTACTCGTAATCAATTGACAGCAACCATCTCCTTTTTGTAATTCTAACACAGAACCCACATCAATCCGAATCATCTGCTAAACCCCTCAACCAGAAAATCTAACATAACCGTTTCCGTCTCTGAAATCCAGTATTCCAGGTTATTGGTGCTGACAAAAAGGAGACCGTAAGAACCAGGTCCTTTAGATGGTGCGCGTTAGCTTTTTCACACAGAGAGATACCAAACACCGGTTCAACTCGTAATCTCTATGTTAAAAACGATAAATAGGTTAACCACCAGTCTATTAGTACGAAATATATTTCAATTTTTGGTGAGAGAAACTTACATATTTCACACACGGTTGGTTGTTGCAGCTGTTGTTGTGATGGATGCGAAGGGTTGTGATTCGCTACCTCCCGAACCAATAGAGATTTCCGATCAGGAGATAGAATCACTTCCATTTTGCTGATGTCTGGAAAATACAAAAGATTGTGTCAGTTGTGCAATATGAACAGAATATGCATAGAAAGCTGTGATTCTCTAGTCTTGTATCTGTCTTTTAAGAAACAATCATAACGAAGACTTGGCAAGGCAGGTTCGTTATGACAAACTTTTGATTGCGACTTATTTCAAGCGCTGGAATATATCAGTCAAGTTGATGCAATTGATGCAATCAATTATTCAACTCCCCACCGAACAACCTGTCTGTGCTGGAGGGAGAACAGGATTGCAACAAATAGATATATTTACAAGGTTCAACCAAAGTCGGCACTCCATCAGTGGCCTCACACTCTTTCCAATTTCATTAAGTAGACTAAGCTTCGAATTTCNTTCCGTTCCTGTGAGGAGAACTAGAACATTAGATTCGGGAAAAACGGTATAACGTAGTAACACAGAAAGCCGTGGTGCGAACACTGGGTACTAAAGCTGGACTGATGCCTAACCCGTATGATAGTAATCTTGACTACACAAATTTGACTGAAATAAGCATCATTTGATCAGAAAGACGCACTGCGCTAAATCCGCCCTAAAACCTTAATAATAACCTTTCAGTACTAGTCTTTACCTGAAAATTTCAGTGACCTCCCATATGCATGTTCATTATTAAGGTGCTCGACATTGCAAAATTGAATAGAACCCAGTGGGGAACTGTACTCTTTCACCTATATTTCACGTAAGAGAACGATGTTTTAATGGCCAAAACTAACAGCCTTTAATCTGTCTCTGTCTATCGCACCTTTCTTCAACCTTTTCGTCAACACAATTGTTTTGTCTCCAAACTAATGAATAAGTTCCACAGAGAAGAGTGTGAGCCCTATCATTAAAAACATTATCAAAGGTCAGAGAGAGAGAGAGAGAGAAATAATCCTGCAAACTAATTTAGTTCTTTCGAGAGACTCACCTGGAACCCAGCTGAATGTCTCGTTTATGATGTTCTCAGGCAAATGAGTGTATATTCGCTAATTTCGTGCAATTTGGTTTCAAGTAGAACATAAGCTTGACGGAAACCCGGGGACTGCGCCTACCTGATGAGCCCCAAGAAGGGCGAAACCGGTGGTGGGCTGTCGATGGATTTTCAGCAAACTTATGAGTAGTACATTACAAACATATGAAGTAATTATTGTTTTCAGGTTAAAAAAACTAATAATATACTAGCCGTGGTGCCTCTCCACTGCATAACTTCCGTGTAACTCGGAGGCACGAGGACTGAGATACTGTCGAATTACACAAATCCAGATAGAAGCAATAGAAAAGCCAGGATTAGGCTAAAACTGCGGGTCTCCCGATCAGTAGTTTGGCGTCTTAACTGCTGAGCTATGAATGTGGATTCTATTTCCGAATGAAAAAGGTGGTTACGGATACACTATTTCCTGGCATCTGCAAACAGATAGTCTTACGCCAAATATTCGTAGTTCTTATCTATGGGACAGAGTACAAGGGAGAATGGGACCTTCAGATATTCAATTATCACTTTTTGAAGAAGCGTTTGTTAGTTCAATTTATTTGATACCTGAATTGCTGGGCACTCATCCTTGCTACTTTTTAAGTAATTTGTTTTTTACAAATGACCGCAGAATCTTATTTGTCATTCATGACAGATAGGGGCATATAAGGTAAAATCTAGACGAGTGAGAGGGAAACATGTTGCGAAAACCTGCAGAATTTCGCCCGCTGAAGTATCTGTTGAATTTTCGAATCTTGTGTGCTCCCATTACAGTTATTCCAGAAATGTAGATGCTGCATGCGCGTAAGGCCTAATACACTTTCAGTCCTGAACTTTTATGCTTGCTGTACGTTTCGAACGCTCAAACAACAGGTCCTTGTTCCTCTTCGCGCTACCATCCTACACAAAATGGGTTTCATCATTCCCCAAGGAAAAACTAGATGATGACGAGGAATGAGCAATCAGCTGAGTGAAATGAAGTGTACATAGCCGTATTGCTTGCTCACCGGTTAGTTGAAGCTGATCTTGCCACATAACATCAAGTCATCCTCCGTTCTCACTATACTGTTCGTTGTGTTGTACGACACCATCACCGTTGGTGTCCAGGCTGACCTAGTTAAGTTCTGCGTGCGTGAGTCTGCATTTTTCTATCAGCGTATCACCCATATTACTTATGCGGAAATGTCACGCTTCCCCTTATCCTCCTCTGAATGTGCGCATTTATTGTTCACGAACGACACGTAGAATTCTGCATTGGTACCTCTACAGTTCTTGAAAACTGCAGCTAGCTGTATGTATGCCCTCAGCTACTTATGGAAAATTATACAAATTCCAGAACCATCACCTTCAAAACCACCATCATCAGCTCTAGACCATATCCGAGCTACCAAACCATTCCCACCGTACTTTGACTAATTTATCATTGACTAGTTTTTTGACAGCTTGCGTTTTGAAAGACAAGATGGGAAAGTCCGACACCTGAAATGTGCTGATGACCGTAAAATGGTAGAGATTATCATCCATGGATTGCTTCCATTTGTGCTGATGTTGCAGTGCAGGTGAGATTCACAGAACCCACTTCAGAGTTGGGGGGATGGAACGCATAAATTACAAGCCGGGAGGATATGACATATGTCGTGTCAGGTGCTCTTCCGTTTTTTGGAGTCAGGTGAGGAAAAAGATCGAAAGCTTCACGTCAAACTACACGGCTTTCAGAAGTAGTAAACATATCGTGTGTTATTACGACGGGGCGACATCATGGATGAGATTTGCAAGAAAAAAAGTAAAACCAATAACTCGAGCTTTTCTTTTGCCATTTTTTATAAGTAGCTTTAGAGTTATTTGGGTAATTTTCATTTCGCTGCTGCGGAAAATAGTCTGAAAATGACCAAAGTCACAGCTGGATAGAGGGCGAAGGAGAGAGGGCGGTGAGCAGCGGAGATCCGAATTGAATTGGCATAAAGGTTGCTCATTCTGCAGGCGAATGTGACTGTTGGGACATTCAGTGCCTTGCAATTTGGAGGATAGGATCATCTTGCTAACTGACCTATCAGGAAGCGCCAACTGTAGGTAAACTATTAAAGAAGTGTGTGGATCGAAACTTTCTGTGGCTGAATAAGCATGGTAACGTTGTAGCTGTCTCAATGGAAGTGGGAGGAGGAGAAAATTCCCTTTACATACAAGACCAAACTCAACATAACACCAACTATTGGTGAAGACTGTGTACTCACCACGGCCTTGTTGTCGTTTCGGTGGGGAATATTCCAGTGCACCATGATAGGTCAAGTAGTTTAGCCGGTGTTCCTTTACATTGAGCTCGTGCACTTTTGTGAGCCGTGCGCGCAACTCCCTTCGAAGTGAGACAATAAGAGACTTGTGTTTTAAAAAAACATGGCAGATAGTAGGTTCGTGTGACAACATTAAGTTTGGGTAAATTCTTACATAAACTGGAGCGAATTAGTAAAGAAAAAAAAAGCGAATCAGCATGACGCTTGGGAGAATCGATTAACTTGCACCTAGCCAGGCGATTCCTTTCACCACCCGTCTACACGACCATAAAAGACTATTTTCTACAAGTTTAAATACATACATTCCAAAATGAGTGCAGAGGAGACGGAGGGGGTTGGGTACCGTGAGGTACTGGTTAGGAGTAATAATAATGGAAATTGTACAGCTAGTTTATCAGAGGAAGCAGTTCCAGGTGCCCATACGATGGACGAGTGAGACTGAATCTTCAGCCAACGAAACATACAGGTACCGAACAAAAACGGCGCCCTCAGGCTGCTCCGAAAACTTCAGTGAACTGAACAGACTAACAGCAATGACATTCCGCACATTAGCCAGGGACCATCGGGTCGATTTTGACAGTGTCGAATTCATAACCATCCCGCGTCAACGGGTTTGATAGCATCGAGTGACAGATTCGGCTTCATTCAACCCACAAAGGCAGGTTAAGCTCGTGACGTAACAGCCTGACATGGACCCCGGGAGGCGCCATCCGTGAAGTACTGGACACGCATAGAACAGTATACCTGTGCACATAATCCGCACGATTTGACTGACACCACCTATAAATAATGTGACATCATGGTGGCTAGCGCTGTTTACATGGTTTGACAGTTCAACTCCCAGCCTTGTTCTTTAAAAAGGCCGTCACAGAGGTCGAATCTAATAAACCGACTGGGTAAGCTCAAGTATTTTTGCTTCTATCTACACTGCATCCAGTAGATGCTTGTCAAACCAAACACGACAACAAAGTTTAACAGAAATAACTTACTGACTGTTGGATGATGTGAAGGAAAAGCTATGCAAACTTTTGTTACAACGACGGTGACAGCCAAAAGACAGCTGTTTCATTCTGCTGGCCGATGTTGTTTTGCTATCATCAGTAACAAAAAATCGTGTGCCGTCAGCAAAATAAACGTTGCATTAAACGTTCGCATTAAGTGGTTTGATCTGCAAGGCAGTCGGTTGCTACTGTGCGTACTGTGAGTACAACTCATTGCAGCCTATTCCATAGACACGGGACTTGGATCAAGTATATTCATAGGACTATTGTCAAGCGATAGATTGGTCACTCAAATCGAATCAGTAGTAGATTGATATCGAGATGGCTGATGAATTTTTCGAGACATCATATTCAAAATTCCAGATCGTCTTCACTCGAACTACGTAGTGGAGCATTTTCACTGTTGTCAGCTTGTTACGTGCACTCTTCTCGTGGCATCGAGATAGGAAAAACTGACTAGATTTTCAGGTGAACGTTTGAACCACTTCGCTGGTAGATGAATTAAAAACGGAGTAGTTAGTATTCTCCGTTGAAAAGTAAGCTAAATCGACCAGCATTAATCGGAAGGCGAAGTCTAGCGGCAAGACAGCTCGCGTAAACATCACGAGGATGGACATTAATACTGCTACATTTTACGGATCAGCCGAAATATGAAATTGGGTGAGGAACGCCCTTTCCTCACGTCGTCCACATGACGGGACGTGTTTATGCTTCATAAAGTCGTATTTACGAACAGTTCCATCTGTCTTTGGTCTGGTCGTGTAATCGGTGAGGATCGAAGGTGTAGGGATGAAAGAGTGTCTATAAAATTAACACGATAGGCCTAAAGAAATAGTTAATTATTCACAAGATGATCCCGAGTTCAATGGTATTCTCGAAAGTGCCCCAACGTGTGAGAGTATTTTTTGTTCAATTATTTTACTGCACACCTACTGCAGAAAAGTCTCGGTGTGATCATTTTTGATGCCATCGTGGTGGAAACTTAGCGGGCGCTTCTATCCCAAGTGGGAACCAGAACCCAGTCATTTGACTAAATTTGGCCCCATTTGTGCCAGTGAGTAAATCAAAATAATACAACGGGGCTGGCATGATTAGGAAAAACTGACCGACACTTTTGAATGGTCAAAATGAAATGGTTAGAACGCAGGTAGCGGTTGTTTAGCAACTAAATGCTGGCTTATATTTGTCAACCTATTTACAGAAGTTATAGTGCGAGACTGGACTCATTCGTCCAAGACCACCACAAATCGGAAGGTATGGCTAGCGTTTAAGTGCCATTTAGTGAGCTGAACGCCAACACAAATCGAAAATAACCAGCGCCTACTTACTTGAGGACCCCATGAGATTCCATAGTTCGACAGCGAGTATGTTCCTCCTCTTCTTTCCACACGGAACGTATGAATTTTGGTGTGCAGTGTGTCAAAATTCTCTCGAATTCATCGAAAGAATACGGTTTCTGGGAGAGCGCTTGAATCAGCTGCTCACGCAAAACAGACAGTACCTGTACATTGCGGCAGCGACGCAACAATGATAATGTAAGTAGTAGAAGAAACCGTAAAAAGACTTTCAAAATGGGAATAGTCAGTGCTAATCCAATGTCAGTTCATTACAAAGGGGCTTGTGATGCAGAATTAATAGACATCAAGTCTCGGGAATGTCAAACGTGACCCAAGAGAACAATGGTACAGGCCAACTTGCCCTGATGTGCTGACATTTGTAGCCAGGTCATAAACAAACGAGTGGAAGCTGTTTTATACACAGAGATACTATTCCAAATTCGAAGGTTAAATCTCGTCATACGAAGCGACGATAACCTTAAGTTGACGTACAACAGTTAGTTTATCTTTAATCGGATCTATATCGTTACGCTACTAATGGTATCTTTTCTGCAGGAGATATGAAATCATTATGGTGAACAGTACGGAAGTTATGATGCTGTTATCTCGAATTCGGTGGTAGAAATATCTTCTGCCAAAGGTTCGAAATTAAGGTAGGTATCGTGAAATGTCAAAGATACCGAACAGTGGTAAATCAAGTTAAAGTCCTGCGCGAATTCTCAAAACAGGTTGTCCTTGGCTTATTGCATTAGCCGACGCGAAATCAAGCAATTGTTCAGCTGTAACACCCTTTCAGTGCACAGCTTACATGCCAACCGAAGGAAGCAATAGAGACGAGGTAATGCAGGTTGCCCAGGCCTAGACAGAAGCAGCCGAGATGCTGAGGTTGGGTTCGCATTACAGACCTTCTGATCAGTAAGTCGGCGCCTTGACCACTGAGCCATCCGATGCAAGACAAACATAATCCAGTTGAAAGTAGTCTCATTTGTGACTACAGTACAATGAAATTTGTGAAACCTAAAATATGAACCCAAGCAATAGTACAAATGCATCGAACGCATATGGTTCCGCTGAAACCTAACGAATTAGGTATTTCTTGATAGTAACCCAAATATCAAACTGGGTCCTAACATCAAACAATAGTTTGGAGGGGCATACGTCCATATGTTTGTTAAATAAATGAAGAGTAGTACATAAACAAACATTCATAATGGCCTTATCGTTTACTCCGCCGCATCTTTTGCCTACAGGTGATTGACCCGGTAGGTACGTTGCACTGAGCCGGAGTGTGTCCACTAGGTTACTTTAACGCACAGCTTAGACCAAACTTCTTGCTTCAGTCAATTCGGTCTGGTCAGCCAATTTTTCGTATGTGCATACAACTGCTAGTCAGTGAAGCAGCGAAATACTTCATTACAACCCCATTATCAAAAGATGTCATTCTTATGTGGGAATAAAGACACATTGCGTAGAAACTGAAGGACTCAGCGTATCAGGTGGCATGAAGAGCGTAATGACTGAAACCTGTTGAACAAAAATCAATCTTCCTACATTTGGGCTAAGACTGCAGTCGTAAACGTTCAGTTACGTCACGATTGCCAGCGACTCATGGTGTACTGGGAAAACTAGTGACCCAAACGGTGCGCGCTGAGATGGAGTATGGACGAGACACAGCTTGATAGTATCTACACCGAATTCCGTGCTAGTGAAGACTAACTGAACGCGTGACGTGTTTACTTCAGGCTCGAAGCATACACTCGGGAGTGCCCTCTTGACCAACTAATTTGTCCTTGTGACGATAGGTGTCAGCTTGGCTCTTGTTAATGATTTTTGTGTGATTCTGATTAATCCAGTTCTCAAGATCACTCGCGGTGGTCAAAATGTCAATTAACAGAACTCGATAGGTTATAATCCATCGTAGTCCAATAAAAAGAGCTTTTTGATCATATATAGTGAAATAACGGATAAAGATACGTACCACAAGAACATAAACTGCGAATAAAAAGTGGTTAAAACCTACTCAAAGGCTCTTCGATTCAAGAAACCGCGCAGGTAGACAAAACAAGTCAACTATCGGAAAACTGCGGTGCACACGAGGTATGAGGGAGGCCGTGATGCACACAAACATTTGATTCGGAACCAGTTGGCACAAGGCATATAATCGATCTTAGTGTGTGTTCGTGTACACCCACACAACTCATACGCCACTGAGGTGAGTGCTGCTTGCTATCACTATTCGTATTGCGTCTTCACACTAACAGATTGGCTAACAGTGGAATGAATTCAGTAAAATGCGTCATCGTTCCAACGGAGGGGAGCATTGTTCACAAGTTACTTCATACGTAAGTACTCGTGTGACGGAATTATTGAATTGGTGGTTTGAACGTCTGTGATCCCCTACCGAGTTTTCGACTCCACAATGCAGTTGCACAGTGGGCGCAATCGAAAAAATTTCATTACAGTAGGGATAACACTGTTCGAAAACATTTGCGACCAAATGCGACCTTTGTTCTGAATGGTAGTCGGACCCAGATTTTTGGGAGAAAAATAACCGATTAGAGTTCATTACTAGGCAAAATGCACACAACCGTACGAACAGTTTTCGGAAGACCAGTAGTTGTTTCGACCATTCAGCAAGTAAAACCAAGCTAAACTGAACAGAGGGGAAGTATCAAACAGGATGAAGCAGTTAAAATAACTGTGGGGAATCAGCGGCAATGCTTGACTCACGATTTTCCGGTATGTTCTTTTCGTATAGGTCGGTAAGTGATTATCTTACCATAGGACCACAAGTGGTTAGTTAGCAATGCAACCACTTTACAACTGGGTAAGATACAGTAACCAATCACGCAGCTCAGTCACGTTGAAATGCCATATCTTGTCCAAGTGTGAGAAAATCACCCAGCTGGATGGCACGGCTAATCGGAAAGTCGCGTAATCACAATGCTTCAAGTATTCTTGCGATGAACCTCAATGAGGAGTTCCTAGATGAACGAAATCACTGCAACGCTTCTCGGCTTTCCGACATAGACTGACGTTCTTTGAAGGATGGAATCTCGTTACCCGAAAACGATAAGCCATGAACAATGGGTTTGTCACAAACACCATCCAGTGGAACTGACCGAAGTATCAGACGATCATAGTGAAATTTCAAACGACGTTTCATCCAACTCAAACGCAGTCTGTGCTAAAAGTTTTGACTCGAGATAAGAGAGTGGCTCTGTATATGACAGACAAATGTCTCACTATTCTCCAGCTGTACCCTTATGGAAGTAAGAAATACCAATACACATCCTGTTTGGGGCAGACCTCATCGACGATTTTGTGCAGTTACTGGAATTTTTGTACTGTCACGAACTATTCGTTGAATGCAGAGTGCAGCGTCGCAGTTCAACCCAAACCTTACCGTAAAAACACCGGATCTACCTGCAGCTAACGAGAAAAAAATTCCGGGACCGAATTTTCCTTTTTGTTAAAAATGCTTGTTAAACTATTTCCAATTAGAATTAAAAGACAATAATCTGGGAGGAATCTAGGCATATTGCTTCGTGTTTGACCGTATGAAAAGGACTCAGTGCTCGTTAACGAATATTCGCACAGCTTGGGGTTGAGGTATTCTTCGCGGACCTACATTGGCTACAGGCGAAACTCTGATTATCATGAATAACGATAAAAACACTAGTATAGAGACTATGTGCGGTCTAATTCGGAGCGAACCTTTCCACAGGCATGTTATTATCATCTTCATCGACAGCATGACATTGGCGCTTAACATTGATAGTTCACTTCCTCACAACTATAATTTATTTGGAAGCCTTATTGTGAAGAAAAGCGCTAGCCTACCACAATCTTTTCAACGTGCCTACACCTACAGACACTGCGGCCCGGCTGATGGCACCACGTGACGCCCGATGTAGCGTGTTGTATATGTGCAATGGTTGTATGTAGGTTGGGATACTGCCATGGCGTCAACACCTAAGCAGTAGGACGATTGGGATCCTCAAACAAAGCTTTCGGCTCAAAAACCTCACCGCAAGGCGGTGGTGTTTGCAGAACAAGTGGACACACACGTTCGAAACCCAACCTGGAGGGCCGGTAGACTGTGTTCGTCAGACCTCCAACCATGGTCCGACATGGCATGAGAGACTCTGAAAAATGGTACGGTTTCGACAAGCCTTTCAGGCAAGCAAAAGCCTCAGCCTATGGGGCGATTTTCTGCGTCAGGATCACCAGATATCCGAAGAGCGGCATGTGGAACATTTGAGCTTGTCCTAGCTAGCAGGAATTGTGCTGAAGAACAACTGCTGAAAACGTTGTTCTACTTCTTAAGAGGAAAAGCCGCACTGGTCCTAACCCAAGCTGAATATGTCGTGAAAGTGTATAAGAAACTGTTGAGACTTCACCGAAAATTTAGTCACCGAGCAGGTACACTAACGGGGTAACTTGTGCGTGAATTAGTATCGCTGGGTGTGGTAACAAAACGTCGATCAAGTACATTTCCAAGTACATACACAATCAACAACTAGCATTCATCCGATATTGAGTTGTCATCATGCTCCTGTACATTGCAGGCTTCCGAAACGCACAGACTCGATAGCAAAACATATGCTGAAATGTGGGAGAGGCACTGGACGAATACAAAGCTAACAGGAACCACAATGTAGCTAGTTTCTCGCCTGATCGGGAGCTTGGGGGAACTGAGCGACCTACGAGAAGATAATCAAAGGGTTCCCCGAACGAAAACACCAGTGATATAACACACGAGCACCTGTTTCGGAAGTTACACGTTTCACCTCACAATCTTATGCATCATAGGGAGCCCACTAGTCAGTCGATTTGCTTTAATACAGTGTTCACTGATTCTAGGTGCAATTCAAGGTGCTAACAGCAATGACACTCACGGTTTTCATTATAGGACAGTCAGACAAAATAAATGCAGATTGGGTTGTGAGATTTGCGTCCAAGAGCACAGATAGATGAACCGTAAAACCTAGGTAGAACATTTCGGTTGTAATGTTGCAGATATTTTTTGCCTAAAAAGTTAAAAAGATAATCTTTCAGCTGTAACACCCCTTCGGTACCTAGCTACCGTGCCACCCGAAGGGAGCACGAGGGCCGCGATGCTGCCAGGTTGCCCCAAGCCTAGACAGGGGAAGTCGAGAGGTAGATATTAACGTCATTGTTTACAATTTTGCTTGCATGGGACTGTGAAAAACAAAGCAAAGTCATGTAAAGAAAGCGAAGCGTAGTCCGTTAAGATATTTCGGTTGATGACGGGCTTTTGGATGATGGGTTAAACGTGTACTGCGCGAGCTATCAAACGTTAAGCGCAAGGAATTTAATGGAAAGTCCCAAAGGGTGCCCACAATTTCTGTGCACGGACTTACCATTGTTATGTCGCCAGGACCCGCATTCAGCTGTGTCCAAGTGTCGAATAGAACGAAAAATGAGGAAACAAAAAGCTCCTCAAAGGGTGTGAGCAATTGGTTTCGTGGTTGAAAGAGAATTGGGTAGAATGTTTTGTTGAGTGAACTCAAGGTCTTCGGATGCCATCGAGGTAGCGGGTCAAGTTGACCTAATCAATAATGCATAGAACGTAATACCTTTAGCGGTGTTTTGACACTGGCATTTGATATAGTTCAGTTTCAATTAAAACGTGCCATCACAGAGACGAACTAACTGGGTAGTCTAACAACCTTCATCAATAAGATTTGCCTACGTATTATGACTACCCTGAACATAATCGACGGTTGATTGTAATGTGGTAAATATTCAGAGCAGAAAAGGAATACGGGAGTAAAGCGCGAAACCACAAATTCCTTCTCTGAGAAAAATAAAAGGAAAATTATTTGTCGGGGGAGGGGAGGGATGGTTCAGTTATCAACGTTGAATAATGCACATCATGGAAATTGAGGAGCCACAATCAGTTGAAGAATATCATGGAGGATTCAGCTGGGTTTCAGTAGATTCTCCAGATGAAACCGAGTTGGTGTGCTAATCAGTGTATTCCGAGTGAAGCTGTTTGGTTTCTTGATGTCGCATATCAACAGCATATCACAACAAGGGATCAGGCGATGTAGACTCTTGACAGTGGAGTTGAAAACGACACTTTTGAGCTCGGTGTTGGGGATCGTTCGTCATGGTAAACCTACACTCATACGATAACTTATTTGTCTAACCTGTGGCCTAGCGTTGATATGTTTCTAGGGTGACAACTCGGTGGCCAGTGGCATCTCACAAAACACTTTTGCATCTAAACCCGTTACTTAATTTTTATCGAGTAGTGAGAGTTCAAAGCATTAATTTTCGATCTTGTGCGAAGAAGCTGAGCTGAGGTGAGACGGGAATGCGATGACTGGGACGGCACACCAACCAGTATTTTGATTTCAGTGGGACTTCGCTCAGTACGTAACAAAATAAAGAAAGCACACACTTACGAGGTACTCCAAGCACATCACAGATCGTTTTGACTAGCTCAGCTGCGACGGCTACTAGAGGGAAGAGAGGTTGAATGACATCAATTCTAGGCGGATGATCATACGACAACGTATCTAACGTCTTTCGGCGAACACCACGAACCCATGATCCGGGATACAGATTGACTGTTTGACTGTTAGGTGTCGTCGACTCTCTGGTAGAAACGGCACTTTTGCTTGGGCGCAACCTCAATCCAGTATCAGATAAAGGTGGCCGCAATGTGCTCAGGTTTCGTTGCACAGCGGGCTGGTAGTTCAGCATTTGTTTTTTCAGAGATGAGTAGTGTCGGAAAAATGAGTACAAGCAATTGTAGCCCAAGCGTCCTGGGGTTGGTTGGAAGTCATCCAACGGGGTTTTCGGGTGCTATGGAGAGAATGGTCAATCAGAAGTGATGTAACCGAGTGAGTCATGGCGAAAAACAATCATACACACAGATGGTCATCTTTCTGCTATCATTCGAAATAGCGCAGTTCTAATAGTCTCTCTGCATTCTACGTTTCTGTCAGCTAGAGGACTTTTTGCAGGACAGCTAGAGGGATGACAATGCATACCAATAATTGATTACTGAAGCGCAGATGCATCGGAAAAGCGGACGATCTGACCACACCAAACTTGAGGTAATTTCTATGAGTTGGTGGGCTTACAGTGAAAACGGTGACGATAAAGATAAAACAGCCCCTAAGAACCATTTTATACGCGGAAAGTTCGCTCCATAACCAAAATAGAATATGCTTGGCACATTTTAAAAATCGAGATTGGATTTATATCCGAATTATGCTCGCATACGGAACGAAAGAAAGCAGAACATTCACTGACGGTTCCGCCAACATTAACCTACGAGACACACTATAGTTTTGAACCAGTTTTAAGCTAACGGAGGTCAGTGAATGTCAATCACCCTCCATTACGATACTAGAGTGCTTCCAAGTCTTCCGCACTCATTTAGGAAGCAACTCTGTAACCAGCCACAAAAGGCGGACACCGTTTAAGATATGGGATATAAATTTTAAAAAAATTATAAAAGGCTAAGAAGCGACCGGTCACTGTATTCTGTGTACCCTATCCTTCCGGGTACAGTCAACAGTGACGGTTACATCTACTTGATTTGACAGAGCTACTGAGTTTATCGGATACACGTGGCGATTGAGTGACAAGTGTTTATTGCAAAATATCCGCCACATTGCTCGTCGGCGTTGTTACCAGGAGCTCTTAATCAACGCAAGTAATTTCCAGTATTGGGGAAGCAAACCACTCGATCCTCCGAAACAGAGCCTTGGAAAAGTATCTCCCTGCGATGACAAATTAAGCAGAAAAAGATGAAGTAACGGAGGACGGAGAGCAACAGACTGGGTAGAAGATAACGGAAAAGGTTACACGATATTGGTTTCAGTTGATAAGTCTTGGTGAAATTAGCAACAAATGTTTAGGTCCAGTTGCAGAATTGTTACATTTCCAACGGGACCAAACAAACAGAAGTATTTCCAAATGCGGACAGCCAACACGTTTCTTCAGAAGCTGCCTACTTCACTCGAGTCATTCACACGGCACATTAAACCAAGAATACGCACCCCTCCTGGAAGCAAGTAATGTGACAAGAACCCTTCGCTGAAAGGAACCATTGTATTACTATGACCCATTCGGAGGTAAACGAATAAGTGCTAGGGATAGCAATTTGACTGAATTTTCACGGTCAATTGAAAAAAAACAACCACAGAACGCGAGCTACCTACTCTAAATCCCAGCTGGATACAAATGAGTTCCGGCTTATTCGGGTCAGCCAAAGTAAGATCCAGGTCCCCGGCACCGAGTTGACATAAGTTATTCAGTTTTTCCAGTCCAGTTCGCGACTGTGAAGGAATGAAAACGGACAAAAGACAATATAGAGGAAGCCTGAGCGGGATAGAGTGTAGGAATTTATTGATGATAAACTGTACGATTTAGAACTGTACATAAGCCAATTAGTTTTTAGCACGTTTCTGTTATTCATATACCTATAAATATTATCAAGATGTAAATTACGTTGGGACACCATTCTCACCCCATTATCACATTATCGACAAAATTGCTCAACTGTCCTAAGCAAGCATCGAGCTGAAGGCGACAACAGAAACTGAGCTTTATTTATTTAAACTGATGCGGACGGCAAACTGAGTAATCGAGCTAATTTCACCAAACAACGACTGATGTAGCACAGGTTTGTTTCCTCGATGTAACTCACACTTGTCCGCTACCGCCATGGTGCCAAAACTTGAACAGGAGGAGGATTAGGGTTCACACCAGAGTTCTGTTTGGATGTCTAGATAAAGGTTAGCGGTTTTCAACGTAATATTACTAGGGAAGTCCAAATTTATTGGGATAGGTCACCGAATATGTTACGACGCCAAACTGAAGCACCAGGCGATTTTGTTTACCCACCACAGCGTTCGCCAGGCTAGGATGGTGGTTCCAAGTTACTGAATTCACTGGAGTTCTTCGTGGAACCCGAAAATAAGATACCGATCTCCTTCAGGTGAAAATACTGTGCTTTCTGGAGGTACGAACACATCGCATTCGCTCAGTCAGCTGTCCAGAATATAATAAACTCCTGGTGGACGTCTTCGCAAGACCGACTAGCTTCGGGTTTCTTCTACGCCTCTATCTTAGTTGCGTGAAATTTGTTGTCAGAGTAAATAGTGACAGTAGAAATTCACACAGATGATTTGACGGGACTTTGACGGTCGACGGCTTGTAAAGTTTGCCCTGAGCAAGGTTGCCTTGTCAAGTTATGCAAGGGTGACAGTCGCAGACCTAAACAGTTGTAAGTAACCAGAAAAATTGCTCATTGTGGTGTGGCCACTGGAAAACTCGCCAAAGCGCTCAGTGACCAGTTGTCACTTTGTCAGTCGGACCATGATAGAAGACCAACTCAGATGCGGAAAGTATACAGTAGCATAATATGCCGTGATGTGATCATGAACCATGGATACCGAATCATTGCCTAACGAGACGGCTAAATGTGTCAAAAGGTGCAAAGTACAACTTAACGGGAGTACAAAAGAAATTACGATAACGCTCAATGTTGTTGGTGTGGAGCGTCTCCCAGGTTGGCGTCGACATTATCCCTTTGTGACTGGCTGAAGGTGCTTAGAGGCAAGGCGCGCAAGGTTGCGACAAGGCAACTAACCGAAGCCGATGGTGTCACTTTCCATTCAGGTTGTCTAAGTGAGGTGTTGGAAGTGTGGGTACATAACAAGAATAGTACTGATCTAATCCCAAATGTAGTCCCATGTCCAGTTTTCTGGCACTTTCATTCTTTTTCATACCGAAATAAAAACTTTGTGGTTGTGTGGAAATGGGGCGATTAGGAAAATCGACGTTAGTATTTGCAGTGCGGATGGTGACTACAGCCTGTTAGATTGTGACTGAACTCACAGACGTGGGAGTACATTTGCATTAGGTAAGTAAACCGACAGTTATGTCATCTGGCCCCTACTGAACCAAATAAGACGCTTCGCCAGCTTATCTCAGGCTGCTTGATAGAAAACTAATCCCAGTTACCGATATTATTATTTTACTCACAACTTAGAGCTGTGGTAGCAACAACAATGATATGAAATTATATCGTCTGCATTATGATAATCCCCGTCTAAAAACTGCCACCTTGATGTTTAGTCGGACTTGAGTCCTGCAATGATCCCACAGGTTACACTGATTGGAATTTTATTCCACAAGGTTGAACCATGCCGAGAAGGCCAAATGGGAGTAGGCATGCCAAGAACAACGGGACGCCGGACTACAAATGACAGTGTTACGAGGCGGCCTGCGCGTAAACTCGTACTATTACATGGTGTGGGGCTTCCACTCAAGCCGAGAGCTCAACAGTCGCCTTTGCGCCGTCCAGTTATCCATTTCAACCAGGTTATATGCTACTCAACATAACAAACGGTGCCTGCTTGTAATCAGGAATACGCCCCAACGGACTGCAGTTCTGACACCTGGCTCATTCGTCAAACAAAAAACACTGACAGTGTGATCTTTGCAGGCAATATGAATGTAAAAGTCAGCCGTCTGAGCTGCTTAGAAGCACGTTGTGGCGGTCGACTCGTCCGGTTGTGTGTTGATCACAAGATGCTTCTGAATATTACGAATTTCCAATATAAACGCTAGTATTAAGTTGCCTGGCTACCACGAAGTTCAAAGCAATCGTGGACTCATTTGGACTAAGTGGCCATCAGCCAGCAGTGGGAAGGCGCAATTCAAGGCTTCCGTTTCTCCTGGAGCACAAATAATTGATTCCGATCATGTCATGGTGAGTGTATGCCTAACAGTTCGATTCCTTCAGGTGTTCGGAAGCCTGCAAGAAACGTGCCGAACCACCATCTTCAGAGAACTTCTGTAGCCCGATATGAGTTAGTTCAACTACTCTCTACGGTTAACGGACCGCACTGGTAGCGAGTACGTAGATGAAGCATGGTAAAATGTGAGTAAAGCTAAGCTGCGGCGTCCAGTGCTGTCTGTCCGACTTCTCAGATTTGACCACAAGACTACTGGATATCCTCGAGATCGCTATCCATGATTGATGTCACAAAATCCATACCAGGAGGCAAGGGGTACGACGGTGCAAGCATATCTCTCAAATGTCAAATAGTGAACAGGCTAAGGAATGACCAAAAGCTCTGGTGGACACTGGAAGTTCGGGAGATGGAGAAGGCTTTTGCTACCAGAAGCGACTGTGCCCCAAATCAACTAATGCGGTCGACTGGCTCTAGGAAAGCAGTGGTCAGTCAGACGCTGTCAGCTGTGTATGCTAGCTGACCGACTTCGTCGAACAGCCCTTTTCGCAACACAACGCGAAGGATGGGACTGAGCCAAGTAAGATCAAACAATTACTTGACAGAGAAGCATGGAAGTTTTCACCAGCAGGCTCAGCTACGCTGATCACTGATTACTGCCGTCTCCCTGGATCGGGACCCCGAGACGGGACATATCAATAGTCAGAGACGTTGCCAAATCTGAATTAGTCATTCCCTTAGCAGCCCTCACGCATCGTAGCTGTTGCCTTCAACGCAAAGCTCCCCTCCCCATCTCTCTAATGAAAAGTCCGCTGAGACCGAAGTATTCACACATGCATTATATCAGCTACTCCAAATCCCCAAACAATTGTTGAACGAAACTGTGGCAGCTATAACCATTGTACACGGTTTTTACAGTTGATGACGACGATCTGTTTTGCCCGGTTATTTAAAGCTTGTGGACCTGTCCGTAAAAACGACAACTTTTTCCAGTTAATCTTATTTGATTGATCGTTCTGTGTTCCAATCAACAGCCACAGCTATCCTCCAACTATTTAGACCGCCAATGACTAAGTAGTCATTCCTTTTTCAGAACCGTTGCCTCAACTGTCCAACCACCAATCTATCGGATCGAAATTTCACAGATACAAAGTCAAATTGACCTGTTTTTAGCACATGGTAATGTACATCTTGAGAGCCACGAGAATCGAAACGATACATTTCGCCCTTGTTTTGTCAGGTACTGCGTCAGTAAGGAAGACGTTGGACTGATCAGTTTCCGCACAACTGCACTATTCGACAAAAAGGTAAGCCTTAGGCTTTGGGCGAACGAGCCTGTTTGAACGGATAAAAAATCAACTTCATGGTACATTGGCAATGTCAGACAAGGTGTACTGTAGCTATCAGAGTGCACTGCCGCGTGCATCCTTGAAGCTAGGCCGTTCACTCATTCGACAGGATCATACAATTTGATAAACCTGCATGTTGAGGCATCCGATCCAAGGAACGAGCGGTTAGATTGTGAATCTAATCGTTTTTTATGAGGACGATGGCGGAGAATAAGTATAGCAGACTGGTGACATGGGATAAACGAAGGTGTCGAGTTATGAAATCATACGATGCCATATTGGGCAGTAAGTCGAAGTTCGTCTAGATTTGGAGTCGACCGATGAATGAAGTCTACTCAAGAGCGTGCTATCCAAGGAGAGAAAAGCCTCGAAAGACACTATCCACGGGTCACAAGTATGACCAATTTTCAAGGATGGCGATAGGAAGCCATACAGAAGTAAAAGAGTAGTGATCAAGATACGTTTACTGTTGTGAGTAATCGTCATCACACATCATGTCCACTTCTTTCAAAAAAGTCTATTTTAGTTGTCTTGTGCATATGATTTAGATAGCAGTTATTTAATTATATTGTAAAACACTACCCAAGAGCTTCTTTACCTACTGCAGTGACCCTTTATGATTGTCCTGCCTCATTAGAGAAGGGAAGCAGTAGCGGTTAACTAACTTGTGGTGCACCAGTAACAGATTGTTCGGTTTGTCTGATAATGAACGCCATTCATATGATTCTTGCAAATTATTTTGGCTCATTCCATTCGGTTTAAAGGAATTTTAAATCCAAGCTTGGCAACAGGCTATATATTCCTTCTGACAAGGTTCACAACATATATCCAGGTGTCACGTTAACCGTTAATGTTTTTCTAGGGGCTCCTAAAACTCACACCGAAAAGGTTTCAAATTAAGGGCGATGAAATGGAATGTGAAAACTGTTAAAAGGCAGCTATCGCTAACCTCTTCGTCCAACGATGCGTGGAGTTCATCTGCCAAGTAAATGAGGTAGGCTTGCTGAAGTCTGAACAACCCTGCGGATACATCGTTCCCGGCTTGACAGACTCGGATTGAGTTGGCACAGTTTTTGGGGACGGTTATTTTGGGCACATCTTGGACGTAGAAGGTGGAGCGCCCACCAGTTGAGGTTACTTCGCTTCGGAACACTCCTGGATCACGACGAACACCATCTGTTTCAGAGCCGTCTAGGTTGGGATTTCGCTCCAATGGAGTAACGGGGTGTCGAAGCTGGGGGAAGTACTGGGTTGATCGGAGAGTAGAGAAGCAGAAATTGAAAAAAAACGCAGACTTCATAGTTGAGCTCCAACAAAATATTCACCGGAAAAAGTAGTGAAGCGAGTAGAAGGCTATAGCGCTTCCCCACAACCTACAGAAAAACCCTGCACGCTCATCACCCAGTCAAAACTTGTTTTTATGGCTCTATCCGTCACAAATCATCATGGAAGTAAGGAGGAAACTCACATAAAACGTGGTATCTTACAACTATTTAGGTTCTAAATGCAAACTATCGAGAAACGGGATTTACACTAAGGTATACTTAATAGGACACACAAAACCTTGACATTGCTAAAGAGGGCTGATATTCCACATGTTTCACTAATGTACCTACTAGTTCGTCTAATAGATAGAAAACTAAATGACAGTTTTATACACACTTCGAATGCTTCAATTGAATCATAAGGGTGCTTCCACAGAATGTTTGGCACTTCGAATCACGGTAGGTGGGTGACACGTAGTGGTAACGTATTCCGAATAAATCCTGTTTTCGGTCCACTAAAATTCCGCACGTTTTATTTGAGGTGGAATGAGCGACGGCTGATTTTCCTCGTGGCATTGCACGAATAGACAGAGCTCTTTGGCCGCACAATGCTCCTAGTTACAAAATCCTTGTGAATGGAATAAAACCTTCTATGCTAAAATGTTGCATTTTGTTGCGTATATGCTCAAACTAAAAACTATTCTAATCTACATTCATATTTTAACAGGTCGCCTAATTTCACTGTCGAGTGAAGCAATCATCATTCTGGTGGAATACTTTCCTGACATCAATGGAGCCCTGGGATGCCTATACGGGGCTCAAAGTTTAAACTGGTATTCAGGACTCAATTTATTGTCTGTTTCAGTTTATCAGGGACACGTCGTAGCCTTCAAAAATTCAGTTCCATTGTGCGAATACGGAGTGCCCGAATAGACGATAAAAAATCACTGGTATTCTTTTCTATCTTAACTCTTGAAAATGCAATAATGCAATGCCACTCGAAGCAAAATGACACTTGCTCGCTTGAATGTGAGCTGTGTGTGACCAAAAGTAACAGACTGTAGGTAATTTTCCCGATACTTGAGCTTTTTATTAAACCAGAGAACAAGAACCTGATCCGGTTCGGTAAAAGTAAGTTTACTTCCATCTTGAAACAGTAGTTTCTAAATCTGAAAGATTATTATCGTTTAGGTCTTTCCAGAAACTACTGAAGACAGCACCTACTCCTCGCTGGATCAACAGCTTGGAATTGCTTCGGCATTGGCGGCTTCACCTGCGTTGAGTCGACACCGGAACTGTTGAATCTTGTAGTACACATCTGCGCAAAAGACTTCTCGTGGTTTTGGCCAGCGATAGTTGGTAAATGCTCCCTTGAGCGTTGAGGTCGAAGAGTGGACAAACAGCATGGACAATGTCAATGGTTGAATTATACACGGCTGACAACCCTATACGGTTCAAGACAGCTATACTTAACCGAAAGTGAGGAAATCATTCAGATTTTGTCCGCACAGCTGGATAATTTAGGCTGCTGTGCAACCTGCATGTTTTCAAAAAATATTACAGAGATGATGATTCACGAATTAGTGGAATGAAACACCAACACACTCTCACGCCTACCTTCACTCTCAGTGGATCTCATCGTGGGGCGCTTAAATCGGAAGCTCTGGAGACTCCAACAACCACGTTATTACAGAGGGTGACATGTAAAATTTGTGGAACCGCCGCACTAGGTACTTCTTGGGCATGAACTGCACCGCAACTAGGTAGACATTAGCGAAAACAGGCCAGAGCATATAATAAGCGGTCGTACATTAGTACACTTTGTGTGCTGTTTTGTGGGACCGTTCGAGAGACACACTCAACGGTTGTTACGGACGACAGAGTAGCCTGATACGAACAATGAAATCAGGCTGATTTGCTTCGATACCGAAATATGCTAAATACTATTGTGCTTTCGAATGCACCATTATCATCAAAAGACCAAAATTAGGACCGAAACCGCAATTTAACAGGTCTCGGGAACAGCCACCAATGCGTCGTGTGAAAGGGAGAAAGGAATAGTTATGGAAGGGCACGTTCTATCATGAATTCTTCGATGCTATATCCTCGGAGCTGATCTATCACTTGTAATATCTTTGGCATTGTTGCTAAAACTTTCAACATTCTAGCTATCGAAGTTGTACTGTGAATAATTCGAGCAGCGTAGGGCAGCTGTATATCAAGTGACTGCACAAAGTATGGAGTTGCAGGGCTACAGAGAACTCCAAATGAGCTCGGCGCTTTGCAAGCTGACAGCAGTATCGGTTAATAGTTATACGGATTTGAGAAACTGTCCTTCAGGTAATCAAGTGACCTCTTCATGGAAGGCAATTAAGGGCTTCGATTATGTAATCTGCAATGCTCTGTTGTTTAGTCAATAGTGCAAACAAAAATCGAGCGACCCCAGTGCCAGTGAGATAGTGGACCAATCATGAGCAAGCCTGACTGAGCATCCATTGAAGCGCGCCAATACCGCCTTTAATCTAATGAAGACCCATGATTCTTTTTACCAGAAAACTGATATTTCCATAAGGTGAGATGATTATTTTAGATAGATTTTCGGGACCACTACACAAAGCATCGTGGGAGAGCGCACGGCATTACACTGAGTTTTATTCTCGAGTACACAGCCCGGAAGGCTGATCTGTCCCTGATTAAAACGACTCAACCAAAGTAACTTGATAAGGTGTAAAATGCTATACGAGTATAGATATTGTGAGCTTTCTTAGCGATCTGCATACACAGCTATAGGTCACTTACCATGTTCAGCCTTCGTAAATTCATGTCACTCAAGTAAAGCGGCAGTCTTTCAGCGAGTTTACCGCTCTGTCTTGACTGATATAAGATCACATAAAGCAGATCCAGTAAGAGAGACACGACGTCGACAAGCAGCTGGTCAGTCGGTGAGTTGGATTCATCCGCCGAGGAGTCAATGGATGCAGACGAGTCGAAACGCGTCAGTGGAGTGCGCGCGGACGTAGAGGAGATTGAGGAAAGACTGATAGAGCCCACACGCGAAAGCACATTCCGCATAGAGTTTGAGTTATTAGCAGTCGCTGACGTTGGTGTTTCGACTTGTGCGGCCTCTCCGTGAAGTTCGTGGATCCTGATAGTTGATCAAAATCAAGATTGAGTAGGATGTTAGTAAGCGGCTCTCATGCAGCCACTTTGTACCAATAATTTACTGGCTAATAAGTTGACACTAATCGAATGAACACTGCCGGCATACTAACACTGGCATCATGCACTCCTATAATGAACTGGGGAAGTTGTCATTCAAGCGGTGCTTCTGAAGATCTCCATGACTGTGCACTCAAGCAGTTATCTATTAGGCCGTAAACAGCACTGTGAACCGAGAATTGAGATCAAAGTGGACGCAGACTAATAGGTAACAGAAAAAATAAGCGCCGGTAATAGTGAGTTGAAGAAAAAGGGGTTGGATCACCGTACGCAGGCTAGTTAGCCAACATAGGAAAACGGAGAGGTATTTTGGGGAGGCTTTGTACTGCACGATGATAAGCGACAAAGGGCATGACTGGTGTGTTAGCCAATGTGCAGTAGAGGCTTTCAACATGGGAACTCCAAACAATAGGTTTCTGAGTAAAAGTATGGTTTATTTAAGCTGTTACACTGCAGAGAACTGAGTATCCTCAGAAGTGAACTACATTCTCCATTTTATGGGTCATACTCCGGGTTGTTTTTCTCAGCACATCGATGACCGTGATCATGTAGAGATCGATGAAATCACCCCATGAGGCAGACGGATGAACTCGAATTCCCAGTTGTCACCCAACTCATGAGCCGAAGCTGAACTGGAAAGGTCCTGTACGCTGTGCGCGGTGGTAATACAAATACAATACAATACAAATACACAATACAAAAATATGTATTAGGTTTAAATAGCTGTCCACATAGATAAATTCTCCCATCTATCACTTCCAATAACCCGTTGTGTTCAGGATCGGTATTAGAACAGTGGTTTGTCTTCTCACGATTAGATAGAGCACAACACATGAGCTCCTTAGAGTTAAAACTTGAGTGTGTCACCTTTCAATTTTCTAAGAGTCATCGGGGCAATCAACGCGTGGGCGAGGGGTTGTTCGAATAAGAATAATGTGAACGAAATTCAAATGAAAGATGTATCTAGCTGGAAGAACCACAGCTGTTTTACTGTTTTGCAACCGGAAAACTGTTAAGAAGATCGATCAAAATAGAAGTAGGTCAAAGCGGAATTCATCCCACACATTCAAACACGTGTTCAGCATGCCCTGAAGTAAAAACAACGAAACTCACTGGTGTCGCACTTCAGAATGAAGCAGAAATTCCGGCCACTAAATTGCCTACACCACTGACTAGCTCCAACATGAGCAGAACGGGTGCTGACTGTCTCGTCTATGTTTCAGCTTAGCGAGTAAAAACAAGTCAGAACATGACGACTGTTCGTATCAGGGTGACGCGACCTCATTCGTTAACCCTACCCGATAAGTAGCATGTGGTACTAAGGTATCGTACGAATACGCAAAAAATGATCGGATTTACGCAGAAATCGATGCAGAATACATAAAAAGAAGCCCTCTGTCATTGTACCCTCCTACTGCTGCAGGTAATAGATGACTGAAGGAAAACAGTTCTATAGAGGAATGCATATGTATTGAATGGAGCGTGGAAGCCATGAACAGGCTTGGTAATGAAGCGAATAAAGCTAAACAGACTAAGATATCATGATAACGAAGTTTGATTTTGTCTTGTCCTCACAGCTGCCTCACAGTCTTCCTTGGCCCAAGTAAAAAGAACCTTTGTTAGGATAGAATACTAAATAAGTGTTATCATGAGGACCTGGTTGGCCATAACCAATAAATATCAAGGGGCTTTGACACAATCCGAAGGCTAAGGCAGCGAGAAGTTAATGAACTTTAATGTTAAGTTGAACAGTGAAAACACGCCAATTATGTTCCATCACTATGCTCCAGGCCCCCAGCTATAGTTGTGCAGTGTCTAGTGCTGAACTTCAACAATCTCAGTCAGATAACTAACAGACTGAAATACATATTTTCTCCACCAGACTATGTGTGGGTCATTTAAGGATTCGGTCACTATTGCCAATCTATTTAGCTCCGAATGGTGTACGAAAGTGACGACTCTGTGGTCAGCCGAACACAGCAGTGTGCAATATACAACAATAAGAGATCCAAAAAGCTCAGCCACACGAGCGTTTTCGTCCTTACTGAGATTTACCAGACAGGATCAGATTTGATGGTAGCTCTCAAGTTCTCTACGAAGACTGACGACCAATCATACAGCTTTCCGACTATTCACCAGTAGTCAATTGCATGTCTGAATTCGCCAACGAATTATACTGATCAAGAATCAGACCTAAAGACCAGAGACCAATTTTAAGGGCACGATCCATCGCGTTAGGAACGGTGTTATTTTTTAATCAAAATCACATATTTGCTTCCCAAACTAAATTACTGGTAATCAGTGGTAATCGCCAATTGGTCAGTCTAGAGGGAAGTTTGTTGTAAAGCAGGTGCGAGTGTGTAACATATCTCCCAGCAGAATAAAAATTCACACGGAAAATTCTTACTTTTGCAGCCTTTCGAAGATGAATTCAGGATCAATCTGTCGAATCACATACTCTGCATGAGGTGGACTGAACAGAGAGATAGATGACAAGAAGAGACGACCAATAAATCAGAAGAAAAACCAAAACGCGGTGATCGAAACGGTTAGGGAAAATAGCAAATTGTTCAATAAGCCAAGATATAAAGGAAAAGAGGAGCTCTTTGGAATTCAGTTGCGTCTTACTTTAAACTCTAATAATGCAATCATTGGCTGACTGAACGGTTTTGATACGAACGAAAACTACCGGGATGCTAAATAATCGTTTCAGCAGGCAAGGCCTTATGGATAGAACGGCCGAAAATTTCACTATTTAGCGACCCATTATGGCCATTTGTCAAACGCCCATATCCGAGCCTGCTACTTCTGACAATGTGCAAAATAAGTAATCTACTTGCATTCGATGGATAATACATCCTCCCAAATTTCGAGCTCCAAGGAGCACTTCGCAAAAAGATTTTGTTCCTCAGAAAATGGTCACAACATACGCCATAGAAAAAATCCAGGTGGCATTTCTCCTCATTGGAGACTGCCAAATTGGTGATGATACAAATGTACTGCAGGGGAATTATCACACATCTCCCGCATGGGAATAAACCCAGTGAGGACAATTTCCACACAAGGAACGTTTTTCTACCGTCAGACCTCCCGATTAAACAAGTCATCCAGAACTAGGAGGAAGAGATCATCTGGTTGGTAAGACGGTTAACTTCCCATTCATGAGTAAAGGTCTTATTGGCAATGTCATGTGCCATGAAGGGAGGTCTGCCACGAGAAGCCGCCGACCTCGGTTGGTGCGCTATCCAGCGATTTCAGCCGCTTTGCTTTCGTTTGATCGATTGCTCTGCGCGTTGAAATTTCCTAACATGATGTAACACATCGGAAGTAGTGGAAAGGGAAATTAAGGGGAAGCATTGGACGACGTATTTACGATTTGTTATGTAACATGATGACACATCATAAGGCTATCTTTTCCCCATTTCATATCAGGATCAATCATATTGATCGAAAACGACGGTGTGGGAGTGCTCTTATATATCAGTATGCAATATTATCACATGCGTTACGGACAAATAGAGGTAGATATACCTCACTGGGCTACTGAGTGACCAGGGCGTTCATTCTAGGCAAAATGGGACAATTAATGAAATCCTATCAGTGCTACATGAAGAATCTCAAATTCAACAATCTAATACCAAAGAGTAGAATATGGTTCATATTAGTCGCTCTCCTGAGAGGATTCAACCCAGTCTAACAGACGCGTTATTATCATCCAAAGATGGCCCCTCGTGGAACAAAAGTGTTCTACCAGATGTCGTAAGAGATGTTACATCGCACCTGACTTGCCTGCTTTACTTGCGATTTGATTTTAACCATATTTGAATGAAACGTTCGATAGCTCGACTTCAGTGGAACCGTGACTTTCGAAAACAGCCTACGAAACAGGATTTATCGTTGGACTGAAAAAACCAGTAGATGAGATGTTTGAGAAGTATCCCCCAAAAGAACTGTAAACACAGAAAACCTGTAGGGAGGAAAGTAACACAATAAGTTCCCGAAAGATTAACAGAGAGATCAGGAGAAGAGAGCAACATGAATCTTAGCTCGCGAGTGCCCCAATGCCCATAATCGGCTGATAAAACACCATTTTAGTGTGAAGGGAGGAAATTTAGACACTTCGGTGTAGAACATTGAAAAAAAACCTGAAGTGGTTTTTAAGGTTTGTTGTGCCCACTGATACAACTTACGCCAGAAGTGACACAAAAGTATGATAGAATACGATAGACTATCTGTCGATAACGAAGGGCACAAGTTACCGCAGCGCTAAAAATACGGAACGTATTTTCACTGGCAACCCAGACATCAATTAGACCACAACAAAATCGCAACCGTTGCTAGCATTGAAATGAGCTCGTCGATCCAGTGAGTAGACAAGGGCCGATGAAAACCTTCGGTGTTATGGTGCTATCGTCAGGTGATATGAACAGTCAAAGTTGAGAACTTTACTGGATCCCACCGTCCTGTAAAAAACTAACTACGTTTCGCAGGATCACGTTGAGATGGTGAAAGGAACTGGCACGGACTTTAACCAACCAACGAATTGCCAGGAACCGGCACGGACTTTAACCAACCAACGAGTTGATTCGACGAGGAAAAATCGATAAAACATACTTTCGAGAAACTATGTACTAGTAAATATGTGCTTTTTCCACAGAATAACAAATGTGAACTTTGAAATTACCAATCATTCATGATCTTGAGCAGCGACCGGATAGAGTCACGAAGTGGTTTCATTTCCGTTGCCAGCTGACATTGAAGAACCAGCTAGAAGGCATCAGACGGGAAGTAAAATAAATAAATGCCAGATGCAATATGGTAGAGGAGTAGTGAGAACAGAGGAGCAACAGCAAATTGTGAAACAAGTAATACTCATTCGGACCAAAGACCTTCAGTAAAGTCAAAGCAAAGAATAACTCAACCAAGCAATACTTATGAACGCAAGATCCCTTGGTCAAAGTCTAAATACAACCGGTCATCTTTGTGCATGGTGCGTAATAGTCTTATTAAAACATGGCAAACCTGAAACCATCGAATTCCATGCCATATAAGACGAAACGACGTGTGCTGACTGAGAGTCTCAGTAGGTTTATACCTACGTGTGTGTAATTAAATTACTTTTCATCTTCACCAAGCAATGCTATACTGATACGTGTCTGTAGAATGCAGAAGTAAACTTGACCATCCTTTACTGATAAAGTTGAGTTCATGTATGTACAAGAAAAACCATACCATTCAGTTTATTTATCCGGATTTTTCAGCGAGCTTTATAATCCCATTGCTATCTTTTTGCACCAAAAATGATGCATGCTTCCCGATCATGTTTGAATCAATCAAGGAAGTCCGGATGATTGGTGGATAGGTAATCCTTTTATGCGAACGCGACTTGAGGAAACGCTCAAACTGGATCAGCTGGTAGAATATCTTTTCGACAGCATGTCATGAATTTACACCCATTCGGATGCGTTTGTTTGGTTTAGGCTGGGTACAGCCGAGTTTCTTAATGAGAAAAAATGTTCCGTCACTTGCTTCACTCCAGCGACAGAGCAAGATATCGAGCTATCGAAATGCAGAGCACGGATTTACGTGAACTGAGAGCACCATGATGAATGGATAAGCAACGCTAGGGAGTAACCTTTATATCATCACTGATTTGCACTTCATACTTCACTGTATGTTTGAAGCAGTCAACAACCGAAGCAGTTAAGCGTGTTGATACTGTCGGCACAGATAATCAAGAGATAACTTCATCACTCTGATCATGAGTTAGATCAGAATACCTGAACTTCGACCTTCTGGCTTAAAAACAATTTAAGTCTTATTGATTTGTGAGTCTGGAATTTGAATCTCGGGGTTTAGATTCTCCAGTTTTTAAGAGTAAGGCTATATTGTATGTAAACGGAATTGCAGTGCTCTTGAAAAGAAACTCGGGATCAGTCCGCTGATCCGCTGGTTGCAAACCCATATTACTGATATCATGGCTCACGTGCAGAACTCCGTGAGTGACCGTATCGTACATAATTAGGTTGGCAGTATCTGCAGTAAGTTTGCAATTTTTTAACTTGACCATGGTAATAAAGAATGGTCAACAAACCGTCATCAGCAAAGAGGAGAACGAAACAAAACTGCTATTTTTGCGCCACCCAACTGGTGGTCTGGTCAGGTAGCGCGGCTGACCGCTCGTGACTAGTTAAGTTATTCTTGAGACATCTTACGTGAAACACACGAAGGATACATTCGAAGAATTTTGGTGTGCATGGACAAACATAACGGATAATTTTGTGGCTATTGAGACTCAGCGTTTAGAAAAATATTTGACAAGGTTTATTACGACAGATCTAACTGAGGATACTGTTAACAAAGTGAACTTCGACTTCTGGCTTAAAAACAATTTAAGTCTTATTGATTTGTGAGTCTGGAATTTGAATCTCGGGGTTTAGATTCTCCAGTTTTTAAGAGTAAGGCTATATTGTATGTAAACGGAATTGCAGTGCTCTTGAAAAGAAACTCGGGATCAGTCCGCTGATCCGCTGGTTGCAAACCCATATTACTGATATCATGGCTCACGTGCAGAACTCCGTGAGTGACCGTATCGTACATAATTAGGTTGGCAGTATCTGCAGTAAGTTTGCAATTTTTTAACTTGACCATGGTAATAAAGAATGGTCAACAAACCGTCATCAGCAAAGAGGAGAACGAAACAAAACTGCTATTTTTGCGCCACCCAACTGGTGGTCTGGTCAGGTAGCGCGGCTGACCGCTCGTGACTAGTTAAGTTATTCTTGAGACATCTTACGTGAAACACACGAAGGATACATTCGAAGAATTTTGGTGTGCATGGACAAACATAACGGATAATTTTGTGGCTATTGAGACTCAGCGTTTAGAAAAATATTTGACAAGGTTTATTACGACAGATCTAACTGAGGATACTGTTAACAAAGCTAAGAACTTCACCCCCACATCTAATATCACAAGTACAATGAAAAGAATATTCACACTGCTGTTTGACTACTTGTCACAAATGACAAATGAACAGCACCCAGCCTCTTCTATAGGCGAATTCGTTGGTAACAGCGCACTGAAGATGTCTCCTCGAATGGTGACGACACGTTTGCAAATCAATTGCCAAGCTCGGCGAACAGATCAACAGCCACCTGATCAATTACCAATAGGCGAATTTAAACCTCGGGGANGGAGAAATTCCTTTCCATACGACGAACGAGTGTTTTGTCTATTTAAATACCTAAATGTACTGCGCTGATTACTCTAATTTTGGCTTTTTGCAGAGAGGTTATTAATCGTTGCATCTGTTCTATATAGTTTAGCATCAGATCACGAGATTGAACAAGGTGGCCTGGTCACACACTAACCCCGTGATCTAGTTCATTGCTGACGGTGATTGCATCACACTCGGGTGGATCAACCATAATCCATTTTGGCAGTCTACTGAACCGGGGAATACTGAAAGTCAAATGTGACAGACAGCCATGAAACGAAAGTAAAAAAAGCGAGCGTGTATTTGAGGGCTGTAGGAGCAACAGGACAGTCATGCGTAGCAATTCTTCATGGGTTACTGGCGACAATGAGACGGAACGAACAGATGGACAGTTCGGAAGAAGAGTATTTTCAGTCTATTTGTTGTCCTCCTTAGACAACCTACACCAAACTTCTGTGACATTTCTGAAACCAGTCCATCCTGGTTTAAAAAACCGGTGAAATTCCGAAACGCCGTCAAAAAATGACGACTTCTGGAGATAGACCTTAAAATGTAATGGAATCGATCGTACCCAACAAGTGACCACAACTAAACACATTCCTAACCACTTGCTGAACCGGTTTTGTGCTGGTGCCCTGAGGTTCTCGTGGTTCATTTACGGTAGTAGTTATGGTGGGGAAAAGGACACATACTAATCTCCTAAGAGTTCTGCAAGAAAACGGAAAGCTTAAAACAAACTGTAAAGTCTGTGAGGTCATGAGGGAATTTAAGGGGTGGTAGGTTTAATATAAAAATATTTTCAAAAAATAATTATCGAATCAATAGGCCTTCGCAAAAGAGTCAGTATTTCACTCGCGGCCAGCACATGAGTATTTTCTCTGGTGAAAAAAACTAAATTGCCAACAAAGATCGAATCCTCTGAAAGACAAAGAAATGGAAAATTTAATCCTAAGGGAACTGGTTGGCACTGTCAACAACTCGGGTGATTCCTAACTAAATACCTATCCTCTAGATGTGGCTACCTTGACTGGGTTCCGCGGGAGGTTGCTTTAGGAAGGAGGACGAGCGTAATCTAGACCTCTGAGAGAAAGTATTGCACTCGTTGATGAAGGGCTCATAGATGAGGTGGAGGCTGTGCACGGACACAATACTACATAAGATCGTTTGCAACAAAGCGAATCAGTGAGAACAAACAAACGGATTGAATACGCTAATAAAAATCAAGCAACTAACGTTTCCTTCAGTATTGAGCCACATAGAGGATCCGACAAACGGCGTGGGGTCGTCTGAGATAGTATTTAGAGCCAGGCCTTTAGGTGTAGCCTAACAGTCGTCAGTGCCTTCGATAATGACGACTCATTCAAGGATAATTGTGCGGTCCCATGAAATTTCAAACCGTGGACAACTGAACCGTTTGACTTAAAATACAAGGTGAACTACATGACCACAATCTAGTGTTGCGTGTTTCGTATTTAGGGTAGATATATCAGGTTTCAATTCATAGTGAACAAACCTTAACGACAGCATCTTAAACGCAAAATCTATAGCGTACAAATGATTTAAAAATTAATACGTACAACAGACAGAAATCTCTCCGACGCAAGAAACCAACTGAACTCAGGTGAGTCCGATATGGGCGAAATTAGTGTGGATCGCTTCTCAGCATCTATGTCCTGCATTCCATATATTGGCCCGTCCAGACAAAAGAAGCGCTCATCACTTCCAACGGCCGAATCTTCTGAGCTGTTTAAGCCATATTCAGCCAATTCGACAAGGCAAGCGGCAAGATACTTCCACAACTTCAGCTGTGGGTACCAGGTGGTGGCGGAAGTGGGAGAACGAATTAGTTCTTCGAATCCAGCGGGGCTGAAGCAGAAAACTGAACGTTGTAAATTAATTCCAAGGGAATAGCATGAATACTGGATGAATTCTAACCAGCCATTCTCAGACAGATGGTTATTGATATACACATCACAACATGATGTTTCGGTGCTGACAGATTAAAGCGACGAACTTTGTGTCTAAAAAAAGCATAATGGTTATTTACTTTTCTTGCGGAAAGTAAATGGTTATTGCATGAGGTAAAACTGATGTCTATGGGTGTAAATCTCAGGCTTAAGACATTTGAGTAGGACTAGTATTGATGGGTCATCGTGTATCTGAGTTGCTAAGCGGCAAATATTATGTCATCTCACCGTGATTCTGAAAAGTCTGCACTTTGAGGATTCTTGACCCCAATTCGCAATGAAGACCACTAAAGGCGTAACTGTGGATCAACTTCCCTCGCAACAAAGGCCGTAAAGTTGGTGTTTTCCGTTTTCGTCGTTAAGGTAACGCGTACGCACTTGACAAACGTAGTGAACACAAATTTGTTTCAAACATGGTTGAGCATGGTTCACAACTACACAAACCTTACATACTGCATCAATCCATCAAAAATAGACGAAGCAGAGGTTCCCTTCACAGTCATCCACGATTAAGTAGACAGATCGAAGATCACTTTGGTGACCTAGCGGGATGCGCATACCCGAAAATGGACACACCACCGAAAACTTGAACCCATCGTGCTAAAAGACGCAGCACACACTACCGATGATGCATTTCTACTTGATGGTGACAATGGCATACAGGATAATGAAATAAATAGTAAAGGGAAAAATGCTTGAATAATGGAAGTTATGATTTTCTCACGCGTCAGAAATCCTCTAGCAATTAGAATGGAGCAGGTTTACAACTCAGTGAATACGTTACGGTGGGATATCAACAAGGAAGTTGTCCGCAAGGGTACGCCATCTTTGAATGCCAAAACGAGGGCTGACATACTGTCATTTTGCCAAAGCCTGGAATGCATCGGTCGAGATACTGGGGTCGGGTTGGAAACGTGGGCATCGCGGGCCAGTGATTTTTTGTCCGAACCACTGAGCCACCTAGAGCTCCGACCACACATCAACATGTGTTTGAAGAAGCCACTGAGGTGATACAAGAACCATGTGGACAGCATGTAGGATGTTGTGAACCTATCACCATTTGGGTCATCTACTGGTCATCTGCAATCACAAGGGTCTTATGAAGACCCTATTCGGGTAAACATATTAGCAGCAACCATACGGAGCGGGACTATATACACGAAGTGCTTTTGAAAAGCGTGCTGTAAAACACCACAAGTCAGTTGGCAATAGACAGACTTAGACCATCCCGATTTGCTTGCACACATTAGTAACTACGATTCACGGTTCCATTGCAGTACATGAAGACGTGCGCGAGCACCAGATAAGGCAGTAAGGGCCTGACTTGTAAGTCTGACATCTCGAATAAATATTTTGCTAGACGAATAGATAATCGCAACAGTAAACATACGGTAGTTCTCCTAAGACAGCCTGCTTCGAACTCTCTAACAAGGAAAACCTAGTTCCCACTAAGGGATTGAGACCTCTGTGGCGTGATTTTTATTCGCATGACTCCTAACGACTACATTTTCTTCTCATCTGTTAAAACCACGTTTCAGATGGAACAACAGGCGATTGGTCTATCACAGGCCTTTCAAATGGTTAGGTCCCTACTAGACGCGACAATGTACCAGAAAAGGGAATCTTTAACAAGCCCCTGTAGGTGGTGTTTAGAGGTGGAACAACCGTCCGAAAGTGGTTGCTTGGTCTCTTCTCGGAAGGAGTGTACAGATGAATAGTCTACTTAACGGTCAGAAATTCGGCCTATTGAGATTGTCATAACACAAAACCTTGGAATAGAATATAACCTGGTAATGCCACATCATGGACATTAATGTTATCACTTTTCAGACATTTAATAGAGGTGTATAGATAGCTTTAGACAGCCTCAATAGTAAGGTTATTTCCTAATAGAAATACCGCCAAAAGGAGATCACGAACGGGTTTTTGGAAAAATGAGACTCTGGTTAAACCCCAGATATCAGTTTAAGCCGATGGCTACCTAATGTGGTTTTACTAGCTTTTTCGATGGTGGCCGTTTCTGTAAGCGAGAGGTCTTCAAACGGGGAATAGGGACAGGAGGGACATGACATTAGCACACTAGTTTCAGGGCATCACCGTATTATTGTAATCAAACGTCGGGGCGTTATTTCATTATTCACTGGTATGGCCGACAGAAGTGCTCCTCCACACCTCGAACTAAGACCAGCTGGACCACTTGCTGTGAGTAGCTTTTGCTCGGGGGAAAATCGTGCCACGTTTCATCTGTGGAGTCAGACAGAATGACTATTGAATGTGTAAGTATTCAAACTCAATTGACCCATAGGTGACGCGATACGATATAACTTCAAATTGAAAATCTCAGCCGGGCAACAATCTGAAGTGAAACAGTAGGCTAAAGCACATGACAAGCATGTCATAAACGAGAGATTCACCGCGAAAACCAGATTGATATAAAATGCGTGTATATGTTCAAATACATGAGCTTCAAGGGTCATAATTTAAATAGGGTGTAGTAAAAGCCCTTCAATGAACTAAACAAGTAAAGCATTGGATAAAATCTGAAACTGAGTCAAATAGCTCACTCAATTGACGGAAACAGGTAACTACGAAGAAATTGTGTGCTTGTGAACTGCTGGCCTTACATTTGCACGCAAAATGTCCGCTGAGATAATTGGACAACACATTAAAACTTTACTGACCCACATATTTTTGAACGACTAACAATAATTATTTAAAACTGGCGTACGCAGTCTTTAGTTGACACCTTGAGCAATCCTGCTGCAATAGCTAGAAATGAACGAATAAGGGCTAATCCCTTAAATAGATGGAAAGTTAACACAAAGCAGACATTCGTACCACCAAGTAAAATGCAATCGATTGCGCCGAAATCAATCGAACGTTTTCAGACTAGGTGACTAGAATGCGATTCGGATTAGACTGCACACAGGTTTGTGAATTATGATGAATCGGTCTCTCTGAGAGAATGAAGTGGGGCGTAGAGTGTTAACTTCGGTTAGCAGTCGTAACAAATGATAAATTGGAGCTTGAATCACACTATAGTTTTCACACACCGATCGGATTTGCCTAAAAGTATGCGAACTACGAAGATTCACTGCACCTAATGCAGAGTGATTCGACTCATTCAGGAATGAAGGTCGGAAGTGAGAAATGTAAGCAAATCCTATATATCCTACGAAACGGGAAAGATAAACCTAATACAGACGGTCACACAAGGGAAACACTGCGGACTAAGCGAGTAATACTGATTCCCTGCTATTTTCATTCTCACCTACCTTGAAAATTTAGATAGACCATCTCCAAACCGTTTATGAAAAACGTGAATAAACACACTATGAGGACAGTTCACTTTGTTCCTATTCGGTCTTAGCGTTTTACCATGCACCACACGTGGTTCAAACTACAACGTTTCACCAATTCGTGTTCATTAAGTCACCGTTGTGAGTTTTCCTCAGTCACAACACAAGTTCGGGATAAGTTATCCCTACCCACCTTAATGTTCCGAATCATGAACACTACCACTGTTGACTACGTATCTACATCAACTCCACCCTATCAACCTGACAGCGATTTGTCCTACGTCCATTTTGGCATGAGTTCAATCCCCAAGGTATGAGAGTACCCTGGATGTGTTGGTTAGTTACCCAAATGCAAGGAAACGTCTTCTCTCATTTTTATTGTATGTTAACTTCGAGCAGGCACCTCATTCCGACCTGACTACGGAAGTTTACATCATCAGCAAATTCAGCCTTCAAGCTCAGTTGCCTCGATTTTATTCCAATAGACATCTTTCAGCCCTTTTGGCCGGATTCATTTACGTTTGTTTCCTGTCTTGAATACCTGACCAAGACAGCGACGCTGCTCAAAACTTGGACCCCTTTTTGACATCACGTCCATTAGAATTCGCAGGACGCTCCGTTACCTACGTGATCCTTTAATGATAATAATTGTGATAGTTTCTATATTAATTTTTAAATTTGACTTCCGTCCAAGAATCATCTCTCTCGTGCCATTATGGTCGTACGACAATTTCGTTGACTAGGATTCTGTATTCCAATCCTTACACAACTTTCAAGTGCCCTGGTTGTGCGAGAGCGGAAGATTTATTGGATGGCTTTACGTCTTGTCTTCAGCAAAGTGAAAGAGAGGAAGCCAATATCAGGCACCGTAGCCTAGCTGAATATCTGCCACCTGGCCGTCAATACGAGAAGGCTCAAGTGATTCAAACTGGCGATGGCGAGAGAAGGAAACAGCCTCGATGCTTTGAGCGTATGACATTACCTTCTACATCCAACAGGCAAAAGTATGGTGCTGTTCGAACGTTCTCACCGGCTTGCATGTAGAATCTGCCCATGCAAAGGCTGGAGACGCATTGTTGAACGTAATTTGAATGACGTCATGGACGGCATCCCATGAACTCCATGGTCACGTCACATTTTCTGCACCCCTGATGCTGCATTGCCGCCGACCGACGGCCTATCTTCGGCCGCCTCAGCCAGACTGGCTTAAGAAAAGCTTGGATGCCACGACATGGAGAATGCAGGTTGATGCCATGAGTCATCAAGTGCAGCAAGCATAAAACCTGGTCTCAGAAACTCCAATCCAATCAACTGTCAAGTGGATTTAGTTGAAGATCACCCGTCAAATGACATCGCTTTCCTCGATAACGTCCCGCAGTGAAAAACACAATATCCAACATATTTTTGCACACATTCGGGACACATGGATACTCGGCTCATCAGAATATCATCCATTCCGTTCAAAACTACAGGAAACGAAAAAAGCTGCAGATGTGGGTAAGCATGGAAGCTCTTCCACCTCAGTCGCATCGAATGAAAACCATCCTACCGTGCAGCGCCGAATAACATTTTGCATCCTAATGAACAAATCTCTAGAAGAGAATCCGTCAGTCGCTCATTTGTTAATGAAATGGGAATGCGAAATTCCCAGACATGATCCAACAATGGTGTAGAAAGTCAGCTTTAATGCACCAACGGAAGAAGTTAAAGGGATCATTGGCCACTAAAGAACAGATTTCTTGGAGGTGAGGTCCCAAACAAGGTACGCAAAGCGTGTGCACCAGTGCTTAACAATGGTGTACAAAGTCAGCTTTAATGGACCAACGGAAGAATGTAAAGGGATCATTGGTCACTAAAGAACAGATTTCTTAGAGGCGAGGTCCCAACCAAGGTACGCAAAGCGTGTGCACCAGTGCTTGATAATTCACTAGGCTAGCAATTCAGTTTCAATCTAAGATAAATCAGTTTTAACGATTTGTCGTAAGGAAGTGACCGACAAGCATGTGATTTTTGCCGAGGCACCGGCCTAATCAGCATTCTGGGGCGATGTCTCTACAGATTCGCTCCGTGAGACTCCAGAATGTGACTCAATCAAGTTTTCGTACCAGTAAATGTCGCTCTGTGCTGTATAAATAAACAGGCATCAAGTTCCAAAGTCGCTTTTGACTCGTTGACTGTGCAGCCTAGTGGAGTATCTGACTGCTTGATAGGTCACCACCATGCTTTTCAAAATGATCCGATTCTAGCACTTTACAAGCAAGGCTTGTGAAGAGTTTCACAACTTTGATCTACCAGCTGAGGTAGTAACTCAAAACCCGGTCATCTTCAAAGACGTCATCGACCGGACTACAGATCATGCTGTCGAGGGTTACGAACACGGCAAGATTTTGCAGATATTTGGATCTCCGATGTCAAATATGCTGACGTTTGACCGGATGACAACTCTCAAAACCAACAACAACAGCAACTACGTCGCCTTGGTCAGACACTGCGCCGACTCGCCGCTCTGTGAAACAGCCATCACACTACACGGTGCATTTATTGAAGAGGCCACCTTATTGCAATACCTCAGACGTAAATTTTCCCAGTTGCGAGATGAAATATGAAGTGAAGGTCTACAACAATAGTGTCAGAATAGCGTATATCTGAGATTGGCCTAAAAACTGGGTGCTGTCAATTGTTCCGTTTTCCCATACGAAAGTAAAATCTGGGTGCTGAGGTGTAAGATTGCCTAGAAACCTGAGGCTTTGAGCACTCATGTAGAAACAAGATGGACCAACGGAGCTTCTACTAAGGTTGTTTGAAAATGACGTTATGAGCTAAGATTGAGTATCAACCTCGAATGTTTGCATTAGTTTGTTCATAACCAATAACCACTCATGATGCTAACTCGGTGGATGATGGAATGTTTGCATTCTTATTGCCAAGCTCAGAGAACAAGCCAACTACCATGGTTTGCACATGTTTTCCACAGGCCAGGTGGTGGGTTGGTCACTACTTGCGAGTGGGAATGGATAATACCGTCAATTTAGATCCATTCAGGCCCTCCTCCACCACATTTATATTAACACCGTTATATCTATCCATATATTCATAGGCAATCCCACTCTCTCCCATTCCTCGTTTTACAGCTGCCTGAACTTAGCTTCGTTCCGACTGTAGGACGACGGTGCACTTGTCATTCCTGTGCCCAATGTCGGTCTTGCTACAATTCGTGGCACAGGCTCTGTAAAATACAAGACTTGGCCCTTCATGATTTCGTCATGTATCTGTCTTGCCTTGTCATATTACCCCAGGTTTAAACATTACGACAGGCTTCAAAGTCATGCCACGTTCCCGTTCATATACAACTAACGTCCTCTGACACCCAAACACTCCATGCCTCAAGGTCCCCAAGGCACGAGTGTTTAGTAGGATTGATTTGCTGTTTCCGACGGAAAGTTAGTTCAAGGCAACCCACAATGTGTTTGTAAATCCGAATGCACCGTATTCCAGAGCGGTCATGTCACGTATAAGGTGGTGCTCCTACTCCCGCATTATCGACTTAATTCAACGTAAAACCGTAGCTCTGCTCCAACCGGCAACTCCAAACCACCCTCTGGGCACTGGAAAGTGATATCACCAACTGTATTCTCTTGCTAGTAAAATGGGGAACGTTCTTCAAAAAGGCCTCTTATTTTCCTCCCCCTACATCCCATGCAGCTACCTATGAAACTGAAAGAATACACTGCTAAAAAAGACGCTGAAAACAATTCGACAGCCTGTGATCGGTTTCACCCTTCTTGGAATTCATCAGGTAGACTTAGTCCTCGAATTTCCTTCAACTGTATGTTTTACTTGAGTCCAACTTGTACAGAGTTCTCGAACTATACTCATTTTCAAACTACTTTGGTTTTAATGGGATACTCAACTGAGTTCTAGCTGAACCTCTCGTTTATGGTATTCTTCAGCTGAATGTGCTGAACAAAGGCTGTCTAACGTTTGGCTTGGTACGATGTTCGAGATATTGTAGTATATTTTTCACAGAACAGTTTTTTATAAGGCTGCTAAAAACCTCGATAGCTCACTATTGGTTTCGCCTCTCTTGAATCTTATCAGGTAAACGTGGTCCCCGAGTTTCTGTCACCCTTATGTTCTACATGCAGACCAAGTTGTACGCAGCTGACAACATACAATCATTCGCAAATTACAGGAAAATCCACTGCGACTGTCGAGTATCGTGCAACTGAAACACGATGGGGGGCTTTTCGCAGTATTTCCAGTTGGTGAACTTCATAAACGATAGATTCAGTTAGATATTCCATTAAAACCGAATTGGTTTGCAAATGAATGTATTTAGCGAATCGTGTCCAATTTGGGCTCAGGTAGAGCAAAAAGTTGGAACTCGGAACCAGAGTCTTGATGATTCGCAGAATCTTTATAAGAAGCGATTCCTACTGGTTTTTGAATGGGCAGGTTTGTGAAAAATTATTCCCAATGGAACCTGTTGCTCAGATCCCGCAGCCACCAATATGGATTTATTAAATTTAATGAATTTTTCGAAATTCGAACAACAGACAACATTAGGGGCCACCACAGCTTGACGGATAGAACACCATCATCAGTGATAGCAACATCAGTATTGACACTGATGCTTCACTGCCGCTGAACGGGCAGAATAATGAGTGACTGGCCCTCAGTGCTGGTGTGTAGCTTACTAACTAGCATACAAAGGCATGAAGTTGCTGTCAACACATTGCAAGTTCTGTCACATGGTAAAGAATTATTTCATGCAACAGCCATCAAGATATAAACCGTCTTCCATTTAAGTACTTTTTACCTCATATACTGTTCTAGGATTCCGTATATGTACACCATATGTTGAATACCCTCTAGATACTTTCGACCTAACTATGAAATTTCCCCTAAGTGGACGACAGTACTACCGTTGAAGACCACATGGAAAATATTGCGACCGACGTGCTTGCGCACCTTATATTCATTCACTCATCCATTATAAGCAAACCAAGCTGAGGTAAAACAACACACTAATCGGAAGTTAAGAAGAAGCAAACGGATTCCCTTGGACAAAATGACGAATCCATTCCTCGATTGATTGCAGACATTGTTTTTTGGTACCAACACTTAACTCAGTACAGAAAATAATATCACAAGGACTCGACATTTAGGCAGTCTGAGCGACCGGTATTCCTGACTTTCGAGTGCCAGGTGATTATTTTCACACCTCACGCACATTTTCCGTATTTTCTAGTTTAGTTTTCCCGCGGCTGGTTAAATGGTAGGTGGCCACTTTAAATGGCACGCAAAAATTCATGAGCACCCATATGATTCACATAGAGTGGGACAAAAAAAACTGAAATTTCAGTTTGCGTAACTTATATCACTTAAAGTAGAATTTGTGTGTTAAAACCATAACTATTTTGTCTGCGCAATTCTCTCGCATGATCAGGTCAACTATTCTGAATTGGTCAATATTATCTCAAGGATTCGGACAGTCACTCTGGGTCCGACGTGATACACTCATCGACACTCGGCTGCCTAATATTGTAGTTTTTCAGATGTTCAGTAGTCAATACCACTCAAAACGCATTTGAATCAAACACACATCGTGATCTGCAACATTCCTTCCACTTTATGGACGATAGTTTGGATTCAGCTGGGTATGGCATTGCTGTGAGTTGCAAGCGTAGTTTAACTGTTGTCGACCATCTTGTCTGTGCAGGATGATTCGATTGGTAATGGATTAATGACAATATTTTCATGGAACTACATCAGGAGAAGTTTATGAGAACACAGTGTAACCAATAGCAACACGCGAACACAAACCAATCCTGGAAAACCGACTTGGAAAATAAGATATGGTAATTCAATTCAGGCCCAAACAACTAGCCTTGTTTGACGACCACAAGTTGAGGTGGTGCGATTCATACCACATGGTATTACAATAGGCCACAATGGACACTCTTAGTTTAGGTAATGGCATATATATTTGTACAGTTTGTTTTCATTAAGTGATAGAAGCGTTAGATATGGACATTACATTGAATATCGACGAACAGACGGAGCCTTCGTGAGTTTAGGTCCTCAGGCACAACAAGTCGAACATACAGTCAGAGGGTAAAGACACACCTACATGCGTAAGGAATTCTTCTGATCTTGGGAAGATATAAACGCTAATTAATCCAACGCCACTCTGACAAGATAACTTGTGACTGCTAGGGTTAGTGGGTTAGAGCGATTGAACAGGGGAAATAAAGGGCGAAAACACATTTACACTGCTCGAGATGCTGGCTGCTGTGAACGAGATACAGTTTCAAAACATGACTCTTTAAGAACAAAAATTGATACATTAGGGCGGTTGAAATATGCTATCATTCAAACCAATACTGTCCTTGTAACCTGTCTCTGTCATTGCCGAGTCTGGTAACACGAAACAACTATGTTACACTGGTAACCACCGAAATAGCACAATGACCTCTTTATCCCTTTGCAAATTCATAGAAATAGCTTCTCTGTTGGCATTGGGTTACGTGGTGAACCTTGGGATCAAATAGACGCTATGGTGATTGATGCCCTTCTATGTGCACCCACATAAGCCTGAAGGAATCGGCGGACGTAACACTGTACATGTGTCTCATGCACTGTGCAATCGACATGTTTCGTTTTGAATAAACGCGGGCACGCAGTCCGAGAGAAGTGAATTGGTGCTTTTCTATAGAGAATCACCACCGCATTAGAACCCAGGAGTTTTATGTTAGACGAAAAATTCGGAAATCAGCTAAAACCTCACTAGATCAGGCAATGGTCATGTACCCTGGTGATCAGATTACTGAAACACATGACAAACAAACGAGTTTCGGAGTGGCTATCATCAAGGTTCCTCGGTCTCATATGCACACTATTTGATCCTGTCTCCACGATGTCGGTATCCTAGATTCCGTTGTTAGTGCGGGCTGGAGCGAGCGATGCACGCCTTTTGTCGTCACCGTCGATGCGGATGTGCCAACTCAGCAGCGACCGATAACCTAGCTGCGAACAGATGCACCGGAAATCGGTCAAATTACGGGCCTGACCGAAATTCGCAGACAAGGCGCCAATCACATGCCCTCTTGTCAAACTTGACAGGCAGATTTGCGCAGCGAGTGACAGGTTATCTCCTCCACCTCTGAGCTTTAGACCAAAAGGATCATGGTTGTGGGCTTTCGCCAGTGTCACAGACTTGGGACGTTGAGATTACTGAAAAGTTCTGTATGTCTGCGTCAGATATCGGAGATCACCGTTGACGGGACAAAGAACAAATTGAAGGGTGCTAGTTTTTGACAAATCGAGATGCCTGAACATAGTACGGATTGAGTTAAAGAGAATCAGCGGTCGACACAGAACATACGTCAACCCAGAGAACACCTTAGTTTCGTATACACTGGGGCGCCGGGGATCGACTGCGTAAACCGACGACATCGCTACAAGTTTCAAGGTGTTCACCTGTTTAGACATGACAATTCAGGTTCGTCTGGCGTGCGCTTGTGCAGTAGTGGTAGCACGCTTATCTCACACGTCAGAACTCCGCAGTTCAGATGCAGTGTCAACGGCAATTGTTGCAGAATACGAACCTTGTGTTCTTGTCCTAAAGGTGTATAAGTCAACTAATTAAATGAGAATGCTAAGGATACACAGTGCCAACCATCAATCAACAACTGGATGTACCGAAGTAACCAAGAATATGACATTTTTGACCTTTGAACAGAGACTAATTTTCCTGAAAAGTCAGTAAGTCCTTCGAGCTTTGGCGACGCGTGACACTACATCTAAGGCGGTCTGTTGGAAAGAACATCGAGAAGGAGCACTAGTAAATGGACTGAAAATGTTTATCTTTCACTATTTCTTCGAATGACGATCACAGCCGCTCATTGTCATGTTTTACTCATTCACTGCGTCTCGTTTACTCAACAGGATTATCGCCCTGAGGTAGGCATCAAGGACTAAACTAGTGTGACTTCTATCGGAGAATGTTCTTTCCTGAGGATTCGTTGTCCATAAAATGATAGTAGAACCTATAAATAACTGTTTCCAGCTGGTTATTGCCAAGGTGTAAAAGAGAGTGAGATGAAAACAACAAAGATTGTTTAATAACCGGGTACTTACGAGAATTGTTCGACCAGTCTGAATATGGTTTCATGGCCACGCACTTTGAGGAATTCAGTGGCAAATTTCTGACACGGTAGTAAATTTGTGATTTCTGTAAGAACTGCGATAACGGTTTGGTAGTCATTTTCCTCCCAGTGTGTGCATTTCAGGACCGCATCTATTTGTTCGAGGAACTGCTGTGAAGCCATAGACTAAAAGGATAGAAAAATGGAAATGAATGGAAAAAGAATGAGGCTTTCCATGAGGAACTAGAGCTCAAAAGGTGTTTCTTAATAATGTGAAGTAAACTAAACCGGCTAAGATGGATTCGTTATTGGCAGTGAAAAGATGAGTAAAAATATGCTTCTGTTTGTCAAAATGATTGGTTTACCAAAACCGTAACCAGTTTTTATCGAAGTTTCTTTCGACAGAAATCTTGCTTGAACTCTCCTCGTTCACAAACGACCGTTCTGTGTTGTCCAAATCAAGCTGAAAAATATTCGGATTAGAGTTTTGCCCTCTTTGGAGCTCATCAGCAGTGCATGCACTTGGCTCTCAGGAGCTAAGCCGCGAAAACTAGACGTGCAAAGCGGACTCACGCAACTTAATGGTTTGCCCAGCGGCTCGAACAACTTAGTGACTGTCCGCAATGTGTCAGCCAATTGATCCATCGGTGAAAACTTTCTGGGCAGGGGCGTCAAGGGAGCTTGAGACACGGTGGACATGAAAATCCAGGTGCATCTAGCATGTGCCTGTTAGGTGATGCTAAGTTTCCGCCCTGCATGACAGATTTCCGAAGTTCAAGTTTCGGGAAGGCTAGCGGTATGCACTTTCCATGAATACCAATAAGACCGAATCTCGAGTTCAGCGTTTTCCAAGAAGATCGCTCAAGCGAAAATGACGTGATTAGAAATTCTACAGATGCCACAACCACTGTTAAGCAAATACAACTGTCTCAGTTACCGTCACCGCTACTCAAACACCCCTCCATGAAATCAATGATAACAGGGTTTGTGGAGATAAACACGACTGGTCCAGAGGGGAAATTGGATCAAAATAAACTTTTTGGATTTTAAGGAGCCAAAACTGTGAAAACGGAAGAAAAGTTGCTATGGTGGAGGGAATGCAAGTGCAGTTTTACAGTGTCTCAACTCATAGTTCCACGGGGGCGGATTCTGAAAAACATTTTTTCCAAATAGTGAAGCTAGCAAATAGGATGAAGCAGTGCAAGATCACCTTTATTGAGGTTCCCCTTTGAGTAAACGACCTCATGAAAGACAGGCCCTCAAATCATTTTCGCTGGTATGTCGAAGCTGAGGCAATTTTGGTCAAATTGCTCCCTAGAAGGGACAAAAAGTTATCAGCTCCACATTATAGCCTCCATTTTACGAAGTTGCAAAGTGTTTCGGCTCAGGATTGACCGAAGATTGGACCATAACATAATACACAGACGGGTCTTTTGGCCGCAGGTTAGCAGACTCGTATTTCACCTCAGCACTACCGTACCTTGGAAATGACTCTTCTATCGCTGGAATCTCGTGCACGAAGATGCAAGAGTATTGGAAATCGCACATTTTTTACAATGTGGCAGAATAAGTAAGGTAAGCATCTATAAGTAGTGAGTTTCAGTGCTCGGATATTATGGTGGCTTTAAAATACACCAAGCAATACAGTTTTGACGACGAAATATTGTTAACATATTTGTAGGATTCCACACTAGGAACAACTTCCGGGGATGGAAACTCATGGTGCAAAACGTGCGCTTGTTCCAACAAGCTGCTGATTAAGTCAGAATAACCGGAAGTCATTTCGCATAACTGATCATCGATGCCCAGAAAGCATTCGATAATGTTCTCGTCATAGGCTTGAAACTTTACTGAAATTTTCTAGTCAAGCTTTGGTCGGATCCTAAACAGAATGTCACGGGAGGCCTTGCATGCGCACACATCTCCATCAACACACACAATCAGGAAGGCTAATTATGGCTGAGATTTTCGGGATCTGGTTGCTTTGTTGCTAAGATGTGAGCGATACTAAGTTGCAACACTGGCAGGCAACATTTGAGGTTGAATGTTGTGAAATCAGATGATCCATCTGAGAACACAGAAGAAACTTCACCTAGCACGGAGGGCAAACATCAAAAGGTCGCGTGAAATCGATGATACGACAGCCAATGAAATGACGCTAATCGAAGTTTTATCAAACGAGTAATAATGTTATCGGTTGAATGGAACTCCAGCGGCATGTCGTAATGTACGGTAACTACTGTAAGCTGTGCGAGTAGAATGCAGTATCACCAAGATTAACGAACTCAACTTCTTTCCAAAATGTCCTCTAGTTCATTCATTTTCTTCAACGTGACCAATTTGACCATTCTCATCCGATAATCTCTTCAAACAGAAGAGAATTTATCGGACAAATTTTGCATACAATTAGTTTTTTCAATGACCTCTACTTAATTCTGGTCAGTTGATACACAGTTCTCCTTTTGATATGACCTAAGTAACAGTATTGTGAAGATGATCATTCCATCGCGCGATGTTGATAAATTCCCAGGTCGCACTTACACATGCAAGGAGCTAACGAAAAATCGGAGCAGGTTTTCGGACTGATAGAGATGTTGCGGCTGCAGAATTGTCGTAAGATCTGGAAGACTGGAGAATATTACGCCCTCGTCTGCTGCAATTTGTTCTGAGCCGTAGCAAAAATGCTAACTATAATAACAGCACGATTGAATAAGATTTATTTGAAGACAGTTTTACAGAGTAAGTCTATTGGCTTGACTCTTGGTTGCAGGCCAGCTTGGAAAAACTGTCAATAGATTCCGCGTTGAACAGTAGAATTTCAAGTTTTTTCACTAGAATTAAAACAAGACCGTAAAGCTTCAGAAATTCAACACTTAAGTAAATCATTAATTACAGCGTGTTAGTTCGATGCAAAGAAATCGCATTAAGCTGTGTCTTCAGAAGGTCTTGCCCACCGACATGATTCAGCAGCTTACTGCTTCTAGAGAATACTTCGCGCGTTAAGTCCTTAATTACCTACTTGCATGACACTTTCCCGTAATGTAGACTGATATAATAGTTTGGATTCTACAACGCAATTAGTCCTGCACGAGGTTACAATACGGTCCACAAATTCAGCACCACAAGCATAACAACAGGGTGTCTAGATTTCTGAAGTCCATTATGGAGTAAGCAAAGTCAGCTCTATTTCGCGGCAATTATATGCGATTATTGCAATTATATGTTACACAAGTGTTAAACAGAAGTAGACAGTTTGAGGTTCAGTAACATTGGCGTCAATGAACGGATATGATATCCCGTGTTGAGTCACTGCACCTAGCCTGAAACGTGACATGAAAACATGGCTTCTTTGCCCAGTTGAGCTAATAATCCATTTAGCGCACTTCACCAATTGAGAGAGGAGCTTGTGGTGTATCGGTTGCGCCTTCACTTTAGGGTCAAGTAAGAAACACCACAATTATTACAACCTCTGTTCATATGACAATCCACTATGGCCAGAGTCATGAACACAGTCCAACTACGCGAGCTCCGTAAGCATCGAAATCAAGGGTCAGGACGACAAACAAAGGTCATCCGAGCTACGCTACAGGATCAGCTGAAGGAAACCTCAACACAGAGTGCGCCACCACTGAGTCGGTAGATGCCTCAAAATGAAGATATAAACGTACACTTGGTCCAGCCTTGGGCATACGGATAGTGACCTGACATGTTTTTGGCTGATTTGTATTAGGGTACCAGATTACCAGTATCTGATTCAGCTTGCATGCCGACGGGCACGTCTGAGCAGAATCACCTGTTATTGAGACCTAGTTGGTATCATACGTCAACTATTGACGGAATTTCACTGGAAATGAGAGGCTGTTTCAAGAGAGATGCAGCAAGGTGACAGTCGGATTTAAAGACAAAAGTCTAAGAGCAAAATCCTCTTTGAAAATGTCTTTTGCTAACTTCTATAGGCGTTCCTCGGGGGAAAGTGCTGCATTTAGTTCGAGCAGAGGAGCATTTAGAGTGAGGCGTATCATGGTTCGAGTTGTTTGGGAAAGGAGATCTCCATGAAAGAAAACCAGCAGCAGTTTAGAGGTACGATATTCTGAAGTACCTTTGGGCTCATAGCATAACGCATGGATAGATTGACTATTACTGAAGGGATCGCAAACGTCTCACCCATAATGTCCTCTGAAATCTGTAAGGCATAGACAGTACCTAAACACTGCATCCGCCAAGACGTTCTGATAGTAAAATGACGGATGGAAAATGAATGGGCGTTCACAAACAGAGCACCGGATGGTTAGTTATAACGAAAATATAGATTTTTCAGACTATTCTTTTGGTATTATGAACCTCCTACCATGAATGGATGAACAAGTGATGCTAGTCGACACATGAAGATATTCATGCCTCAAAAGTGAGCATCTTCGGCCTATCTTGGTGCGCAAGATGCCCGCTGGTGGCGACGTAAGCGTACAGATTGCATTCCGAAATTCAGAAATAAGCTTTTAAATCCTCGTCACGAATTGCGAACTCTGAAATGCTACTGTTGTTTGGGAGATCTTTCCCATGAAAGAAAACCAGCAGCAGTTTAGAGGTACGATATTCTGAAGTACCTTTGGGCTCATAGCATAACGCATGGATAGATTGACTATTACTGAAGGGATCGCAAACGTCTCACCCATAATGTCCTCTGAAATCTGTAAGGCATAGACAGTACCTAAACACTGCATCCGCCAAGACGTTCTGATAGTAAAATGACGGATGGAAAATGAATGGGCGTTCACAAACAGAGCACCGGATGGTTAGTTATAACGAAAATATAGATTTTTCAGACTATTCTTTTGGTATTATGAACCTCCTACCATGAATGGATGAACAAGTGATGCTAGTCGACACATGAAGATATTCATGCCTCAAAAGTGAGCATCTTCGGCCTATCTTGGTGCGCAAGATGCCCGCTGGTGGCGACGTAAGCGTACAGATTGCATTCCGAAATTCAGAAATAAGCTTTTAAATCCTCGTCACGAATTGCGAACTCTGAAATGCTACTTACCACATGATCCACTCGGTCACACGTCACCTCAGCTGCATAACATGAAGTTGTGAACTCCGTTTGCTCGCGAGAACTTCCATAGTGTCGTGGCGGAGGAAAGTGTATAGGGAGAGCCAATGTGACGTTCGTGTCAACGGGAGATACTGTCCTAACAATGGCACAGCTTGAGCGACCGAACCCGGATTTAGGAACAGGTGGTTGACTTATGTGAGGTTTCTTCCCGTCAGGATTTGCGAGCCTGATCAAATCAGATCGACTATCCCAATTTGCGTTACTTGGTTTATCAACGTATCTTAGCATCCTTCTTCTTTGAGAAACCAGACTACGAACTCGACGTATGAATGACTTAGTTGTCTTTTTAGACCCTCCCTCACGTGAACTAGTTTCACTGGACTTGTCTGTCGTGGATAATCTGTGCTTGCAGACACAGATTATATTGTCTGGCACATAAAAATTGGTATATCCATCAACAGATGATCCCCTTTGAGTGCCACCGGTATACCTGCTGGGTGAGTATTTAATTATAGGGCAATGGAAATCATCTGTTTTGAAACCAGTGAAGAGTGTCGAACAATCCTGCTGTATTTCATCTGATGACTGGTAAGTTGTTGGACACTTTGTATATATCACCGAAGTTGAAAGACTTGAAGGTGAACAATGCATTTGGGGAGGAGAATCGTTCATTGTTCCGCAAACGTGGTCCATTGAGTATGAAAAGCGGTTGATCGGGTGGTCGAGCAGTACGGGAGTTATTTCAATAGACGGGATAAACCGCAACAGGGGGAGCGAGAGATTTTCCTGATGTTCCATCATAGGTCGATGAGAATGGGATACACTGTACTTAAACTAAAATCACCAATCTATTCCCCGCGCAAGAACATCAATTCACTGTCACAACGGCTCCACGACTGATTGATGTACCGAAGGGCATCGAAGATCGCACCACAGCCCATCTGAATACCCCAGGAGCGTGGACAGCATGGGCCATACAACCACAGTGCATAATTTGAGGGCAGGACACGCGCACAGGCGTATGTGAGGAGGCTGTCAACTGACCAATAGAACGCAGCTGATCTGTTTGACAGATAGAACACAGACACACGGTGTTAGAGCCAACACACGCTTGCAAGCAGAGCAACCGCGACACCATGGTCTGCACCGCTCAGTCCCCGAGCCTACGCCGATGGCCTGGCGAGATCGATGGGATGCTCGCTTGTCGAGCCCTGCACACTCCAGGGTGATGCCTAGATCACTCGTTGCTATTACGGGGTGCTTCCCGTTGTTCTTTTGAGACCAGCTGTGCGATAAAATGCGACTAATTGGGGTGATAGCTTCTGCACCGTATTACGACCGCTTTGAGAACATCCACTAAGGTCACGTCTCACGTCACAAGTTCAGTTCCCTGGGTGTGCTCTATACAGATTTCTAGGTGGTCATTCAGGACTAAAATAAAAGCATAGTGTTCCGGGTCATCAAAATGGTGTGAACACATGAAAAAGGCTTTCGATTATACACGTTACTCGTGCACCCGTTTGTACAACGGTCCCCTGAAAATTGATGTGATTTATTTGACTGAAAACACAGTTGATATGCGAATAAATGTGTTCTCCAAGACCTGCCCAGTTTGGGTTCAAGTAGTACGTAAGATTGACGGAAACTCGGTGTTTGCGCCTGATGAGCTCCAAGAGGGGCGAAACCGGTCGTGTGTTGCCGAAGCGTTTTAAGCAACCTGCTTTTATGAAGAACTGCGCCACATACCTCACGTTCTTTCCCAATTTTTGTCGGTATGCCGGCGAACCTTTTGTCCGCTTTGTTACATGGTATATAAACTCATGCCCATGGGTCGGGATGGAATTACTGCAGTTTCGGATTACGTGTGTGTTCGTCGTAGTTTTATCCTGGTCGATGGTATTTTTCAGAAAATCCTTATATTGGTTCGTTTTGTCGCAACTGTCTCCCTTCACTCGTGTGACTCCATTAGGTGTCGTGGTCCACAATCACTTTCAGCGACTTGGTAACGCATCTGCCGGCTAACTTTTCTACAATTCAGCATATTAGCAAGACAGAGTTTGCGTGGTTTCTCCAAGTGCGACATTCCGAAGGATAATCCTAAGATGGATAACCTACTCAGTGTGTATCCGCAGCACGTCTTATCTCCGCCTCTTATGTAGGACAACTTTTCAAGGGGTCTTATGCAAACCCATGTGCATTTGTACCCTACCTGTCATACAAGAGTCAAAAGCAATGTTAACAGAACGACACAATATAGGAGTTAGATGTATGAAACGTTCCGTTCGTTCGTCGAAAGGGTGGGGGATGGCCTTAAGTTCATAAGTGCACCCAACTGCACAGTAGTTAACGTTATCAGTTTGTGTTGTTTGCAGTAAAACAGTGCTGAAGCCGGGGCTAATAGCAAGAGACGTACATCTCTCCCAGATTATGAATGCATCACCATGCGGACGTACTCTAACTTCAGTCAGCTAAGTTGTTGATCAGTTTGCTATTAAAGACTCTAACGCGGGTCAGCCTTAGCATGAGGTTTTCAGATTGATAATGTGGAACGTAGAACAAGTTGATCATAATGAATGCGCTAGAGTATAAATTACGCACATAAACTGTCTCACCTACAGCATCCTTACGACTATTTTGGGAGGAAAGTGGACTTGTGGACTCGAGATAGCTCAGGGCTTATAACAAAAAGCCAACATGGTAAGTCCATTCTCTAACTTTTGAACACAAAGACACGGTACCGTACACATTTAGGTCAGAATTTTTGCTTGTTACTGATGCAGTTCAGCGACTGGGTTGTATGATCACGCTTCTACCACCTAACAAGTTGAGGTTGACAAAATGGGTTACTGTCACCGGAAGTAGTATAACCAGATCTACCGCATCATGTCGGAGAAACGACCGATCACCGTTTCCCGTAATGTTTTATATTCTCACAAGAAGTCTGGAGAAAACAGCCCTGCAATTTTTACGTTGAAATGATCTGGATAATATATATAGCATCAACTTATGTAGATCTCTGCACGTTGCAGATGACCTTGAAACAGCTGACCGAGTAAACAGTTGTCGTACGCATGCTAAAAAGAGCTACCTGTAATTCTGCCGTTTTTTAGGAGTACTCACGTGAATACTTAGCAGGGAACAGATTGGAATGCAAACATCTAGAAGAAGTCTCAGCTGTCTAGTCAGCTTGGATCTTTTGTCGTTAACATGCAAAAGATATTGGCAGTGACCCACGCCCGGCATTGCTAGGACCGCATACTCATCTTCAGGTAGTAATAATGAAGTGATTGCGGGTTTGTAATTTTTACGCTAAGGCCTCGTTCGTCAAAAAGACTAGGACGAGAACCTATTCCCGTCAGTAGCATGAAGTTCGAGATCGGTATTGCGAGTATGCATTCTTTCATTAATGACGTACTGCCCGAGTATTCTTGACGGAATAAGCTACCTATAAGGGCACTGGATATTGTTCAGCAGTCCATTACTCCCTTCGCGTTTCTTGGAACTCATCGGTCACTACATCTTATCTAAGTGATTTTATTCATTTCTAAAGCCTTAAATTTGGAACGTTCAAGCGTTGTTGGAGCACTTACACTTTGACCTTTCTAATGTCTGTCACACAGCGATTAAAAATTCCTCTATTTGCAGTCTCAAGTTTCGCCTTCTTGCTTCACACCGATTTTACTGCTCGCTCTACTTGGAAATATTCTCATTTGTCAGCTCCCAGTTCGGATTTTAGAAAATAGTGTTTGACGAACGAAAACACTACGCATAAAGAATGCAGGCAAGCCATTGGTTGTTGGTCTGAACATGCATGTGGGCTGCATATTCCTTGAAGATTAGATCTGTTCATTTACCTCAAATGACAATATCGCTGATAGCATTGCTCGATTTTGTCACCTTAAACAATCTACATATTTTTTAACTTAGAGCGGCTATAAAAACCAGGCCCTGTTGCTGTTGTTCTGGTCAATGCAGAGCAGCAAATAGGCGTGGCGAAAATTTCATACCTGGATTTAGTTTGAATCAGCAAACCAAGCTATTTGCACTAGAATAAAAATGGTGGCGCTGTGTGGCAAAATGAGTTCATAAGCCTGATCTTGTAAAGTTTTACACACTTTTGGATGCTCTACTGTTTTAATGGAGACACTGAAGTTTGTCTCTAAGCCATGAGAAGCTCAAAGGCAACTTATGTACTGGTACAAAACGGGGACCCAACAGCTATTGGTGAATCTGTCAGAAAACATGTTATAGCCTGACTGCACTTTAGACGCGCGTTGCACTCGAACGTACACAAGTCACAAAGAGGTGAGAGGGAATACTTTGTGTGCGTATGTGTGCATAGTCACGTAAACATATTTTTTGTTCACCAATTTTTATCGTGTGCATTGTTCCACACAAACACTTGGCCTCCTCTTAATCGGCGCTGTAGAACAATGAGGCATTTTGAGCCAAAAAACAAGAGGAGATCAAACAAACACCAAAGCTGGCTAGTCACACTGAGAGTAGATCATGTGGTTGTAGTTTTCTTTTTGATGCCCATCATAGACCCCATGGGAGCTACGGTCGACCAAGTTGGGGCTCACAGCACCGACTGTATGCCCATAGTTTGCCACTTCCATTGACTGCTGTTCTTCTCAATGAGGAAAAACAATTGATGCCCATGGGTAAATACGGTACCAGAGAGCATATAAGCGCTACAGCAAGTGCATCCTCCAAAGGTAATGAGCGGATAAGCTTCTTTGAGTGAAACAGCTAGCTAGGCAATGATGTTTGAATATCAATCGATTTTGCTCGTTCCCACTAGGTGACACGAGAATGTTCAGCTTGTAAAGTGCAAGGCAGTGATTTTTTGAAGGTGCTTCGTTGGCCAGCTCATTATTCTGAGCTCCATGTGAATGAGACCTTTAGCACAGCGGCGTAATCGAGTAAGAATAGTGGTGAACCAAAGTCGATCAATGAAGAAGCAGCCCAGCACAAAATAACTATCACACACATGACAACGGTGAAGCAACGTGACTATCGGCAAGATTATCGTGGAAATATATCGGAATAAGACGATACGTAAAGATGAGCCCATATTTTCGTCGCGCATTTTTTACGTATGGTGTTTTTAGCCAGCTGGTCGGAGTGCTGACGTTGTGAAGTTTGAGATTGATATTAGGGGTCTGTGTCATTAAGTTATCATGGATTCTCCACTTCGATCCACAAGAAGAGAAACTATAATGAAAACAGATGTTCCCATAATTATAAATAGTCCAATTCCTATATCATAGATATTTCTTGGTTTGTTTCACACTCAACTACGAATAGTACTACGTGGAAAAACTGCTACGCGGACTTGTGACTGTAAAGGAACAGTAACGAACCTTTTGTGATACCACTCTTCGGTCTCTGTGTACAAAGATATCTGATAAAACTTTTCAAAGCATCATGTTTCCATACTTCATCTGACTGTGTTTCTAATTTAATTTGCAGCCTCAGCCAAAACGACGGATTTTTATTTTTCATTTACCAACATTCTTTATCATATGATATTCCATATTATAAGTACTAGTACTGGTAGTATGTGGTTTTCTCGCGTCTGATCAACCCCATGGGGTTGATTAAGGAACCTGTGGAACGTCTTTGCAGTGTTCGTTTGCAATTACGTGCTAGTCACTGGTGTCCACGCATGTACACAAAGACGCAAGAGGATGTTCAGGTTTTAAAAATAAGATGCCTTTGAGATGTTACTTTCCTGTCTAATGGATAGTAACCGTTTAGTTGGTGCTTGTTAATATACAGCTCCGCGGCGAAGGGTTTTCCTTCTTACACTGGTAATGATATGTTATTGCCTAACATCACAATTGTACTGATGAATACTGTGCACAGGAACCAAATATCAACCGAACTTTGATTGTCTAAACGGTTTCATTCTCACTACAAACGATTGACTGAACTAACTTTAAGTAATCAGACTGCTTGAAGTTCGTGACTTGAGTGTTTCTTCTTCCAGCTATTAACTAAAGCACCAGTGACTTTCAAAAATGGGACCACGACGACCTCGGAGAGTAACGGTGGTGTTCCCCACCAGGTAAGACCTAAAATTCCATTCCTTCAGGGGGTTACTACTTTCACAATAAGCAAAGTACATTTCGCTCTATACTGTGTTCAATACTGTATACGGACAAAATCTAGGGAGTTGTTTGGGTATAGAGGATGCAACGAACATAACCACGAGGGGCTTAACCATGGTTCTGAAGGAAGACAGACAAAGCGATAAAGCACCTGGACATTATGAGCCCAAGTAGATGAGCACAGACAAGAAATCTTCCATGCCCAGTTGAAGGTACGATGTAAAAGAGATTGTGACGGAAACTAATCATAAGGTTGCTAAAAACTCTTCAACAGTTGAGTAATATTATGATGAAGAGTTCCAAATGTGATTCAGGTGAGTCTTATGGGAACACCAAATCGGTATGCAAACGGGTTTATGTGTCGAAGAAGGAGCTAATTAACCAGGGTTTTAAACTCAATTCAAACATTTTCACGGTTATCCTCATACAAATAAATCGTCCATCATTTGATATGCAACAGTAAAATGTGCGAAACTTACTAGAGATATGAGGATTGGGCAACTCTTTTGGAAGCATTACCTGTCAGACACATGTTATGCGATTCTGCAGGCAGTGGAGGCTTAAGACTACGTATTCCTCTGGTGGTTTCTCTTGTGAGATTGCTGTTCCAAAAATTTTGTGAACTTTGCAGTTTGTTGTTTGGATGAATTGATTCTAGCATGACCATCAGACTGGCGATAGTTCACCAAATTCAAGTACCTCCTGGCTCCAAGCACACTGTGATGAAGACTTTTTCCGTCAAGTACCATTACAGAAACTGAGTAAACGGGAGCCTGGTTTATTCACAAATCACGTTGGCGTTCGCACATCTGTTTGTGCGACTGAGTTTCAGGAGGTTCTGTTCAAGCTGATAAGCTATTGTTGACCCATTGCCAATTTTGTGGCACACAGGTCTCCTATGAACAAACAGGTTTATCTTGCTTAGAACTTTAAGCGAGCCAACAGTGACCGGGGGTATAGCTTAGTGCACAAACAGGTGCATTTGGATAACAGAACAAGTCAGCTAGCAATCTACGGCCTTCACTATCATGAGTGCTATCTACATACTCAAAAAATGGTGACACAGGACCCCTTGCATTAAACGAAGATGACCAAAGACTGAGGGATGCATGGCAAATCGAAGTGGCATTTTGATAAGCGGAGAGTGGTCAATCACGAACTTACAGAATAGTAAAAACTTCTTTTCGCTCCTCAGCGCCCCATCGTCAAGCATCCTTCGAAAATCCGCAAGAACTGCCGGTTTACTCAGATAGTTTTGTGAATTGATCATCACTCAAGAGCTAACTTGATTTATCGGAATTATTATGCTTTGGCTGTAGGTGACAGTAATTGCTAAGAAGTTTTCCTGCCAGATATCGATTCTTGAAATACTGTCGTTATCGTCATTTTTGCTGTAAAGTTGGTTAGTTCGGTTTTTTCACTATGCAGTTTTTGGTAAGGGAAAATAAAAAGGGATGATGGTAACTAAAAAGTATGTCTACCTGTCAGATACCAGGATGGGTGAAACAGGCAGTGGACTATTGAATAGCTTTCAGCAACCATATAAACTGCTCTACCCTATTCACTATTACACTGGATTGGTATCCTTCGTTCCCTCTGGTGGTCATCACAAAATCAATCGACTTCAATTCGTTGACAAAGAAAACTGGGCGTAATGTGCTAACAGGGCATTTCAGATCGAACAGTCGTACTAATTGTGAGCACTCTGCTATAGTGAACAAAAACGGTCTCCACCGTGTACGTCACAAATCCAAACGAATATGATGTCTAACGGAAATCAAAATGTTCGCTGTTCTTTCCGTGTATTGCGGTGCCATAAAGGACACAGGTGTTTAACTGAAATACCAGAGTGACCCGTTTGTAAAATTCAATGAGAACTAAGAAATGACACGGCGCAACGCTTGTATACCCAATCCCGAACTTTTAGTGAGGGCGTTGTGTATTGGCGGCATGAGAAAATGTACATCTTTCTGGAAGGTGTGTATTGGTTGTCTAGGGCAAGAAATATGTTGATTAATACAGAAGCAAAAAAGGTGTGCACCAGATATACCACAAACTAAACTAACTTCTTCGTAAAGTTAGCTCCTGACCATGCATAAAGCTGTTTATCTGCATGTGATTGCTTTTAGAGGAAGATGCTACATGCGATACTAGCTCTCATGCCTGCGATATGACTGTGCAATCGGTGGAGTGAATATGTGGACAGCCATTATATTTGATTATTGACTAAATCCTCACTTTACGAACAGGAAACCACATGAACATTGAGGTAAACAACACATCACAAGATATTTGTAGACCGTTCTGGCGTAAATAACGAGCATGTCAGATCACTAAACATGTTGCCTGTTATAACCCTGCCAAACAGAACAATCATCATGCGTTAAGTGAATATGAGTTGCTAATCCGCCAAGAATCTCAGTTAATTTGTTCAGCGTAATAGAATTCCTTTTTTAAATTAAGTTTCTAGCATGGTTTAAATTACCGTCTTACGCCGCAGGCTCCAAATTTGAAGGCGATAACTTTGTTGTTGTCTGAAGAATAACCCATAGAAAACTATCCCCTTAAGGTTGAACGTAACTTACTTCATATCCCAACCAGGGGAAAACTAAGGAATCTTATTCACAGAGTCATCTGTTGGAGGAGAAGTTTTGTGTGAACTGCTACATTTGGCGCGTCTTTTCTCCATTTTCCCAATGTGGTAATCTAATACTTATACCTTATACCACTACAGCCGAAACAGATTACGCAAAAAATAATATGATAGAGCTCGTTATTAGGCATTATCAAAACGCTCTGGTATGTCAGCTAAGGAAACAAAAATTTTCTTTTTGGAAAAATGTTTACACGTCTGTCCAACGCTCTCAAACGTTTCAGTTCAACACATTCTTTGGTCCATAAGCAACAACCCATTTCATGTGCATATGTAAAGGTAAGACAATGGCAGCTGGATCAGTACACCTAATGTAACATGGTGATAAAAATTTATGCATCAATGAGTCGGCAGTTTGACCACGACGACTTCGGAGAGTTCATAACGGTGTTCCCTGCCTAACATTCCATCCCCTCAAGGGGTACTACCTTCAAAATAAGCCAAATACATTTTCATCCATACTGTGTTTTGAGTCGGTTCAACACTGTATGCAGACAAAACCTACCGAGTTGTTTGGATATGGAGTATGAATAACAGGTCAATTGAGTCAGAGAAATCAATACTCGGAAAGATTCCTTGATTGAAGTACTACAAATATTAAATCCGCTTCATCGTTTATAAAGAAGCCCTCGAACAGTACCGGAATCCGCTTCTGATCATTAGAATTTTCGAACCTAGTAAAAAATGCTTCACTTTTCTAAAAATTTAATGCACCGTTTACACAGGTCTGATGAAACTTCTTGAAAATGGGTCTGCACGAGAAGAATGCCGATTTGGCTGCATACAACAGCAAACTCACACAACCTGAATGTGATGGAGCATGAGGCTTTTGGTTCCACATTAAATTACGGTATCGCTGTAAACCCAAATGAAGATCATCTCAAGGCCGTCCTTCAAAAAGACATTACCTACGTCGCTGAGCTTGTTGCACCTATAATGCAAAGATGACTAAATTCGAAATTAGAAGAGGTCTAAAATCACTTTACATATCTTGAAAAATTCAACGGAACCGGATGTGCGACCGCAGGATACCTTAGAATAAGCGAGTTAGGTTTTGCAAACAATTAACACAACGTACCCACTTTTCTCCAGTAATGTTTTGTTTTCATATGCTGTCTGCGAGAAACTATTCGATGTCAGTAGTGTGAGGAGATTTGGAGAGTCATGAATTCGTCCTTTAAGTAGAGTTAATCTGTGCCGAAATATCGACAATTACTATGCTGCTGTTTCATCTTTGTTGGGACTCATCAGCAGTGCTCATCCCACGACTCTCCATAGGCAATTTGAAAACTGAGGCCTCCCGGCAGGTAGGTGCACACTACACCTTTCTGCCAAGGGCGGCTAATTAGCAGTGTAGTTAAATCGCAATTAGACAAGACATAGCGTCACTCGCCTTTCAATCAGGCCCTTAACGTTAGCTGGTAACTTGTTGAATGGTTTCTCAAGTGGCGACTTCACGGATGGCAGGCTCATGCGGATTGTTGGAATTATCTTTTTTTCCTGAATCCCCCATAGGTAATTTTTTGATCGCCCCTGGAGACTTTATGTCAAGCAACGTTTCTTGGTCATACGTTTGTAATTTACTTGTCCCGGCAAAAGTTTGCATAGACCTGCAAACGAAAGCAGGCTTTGATAGACAGTAACCGATCTCACAAAACGACTCTGCTTCCATCAGTATGAAACAATGACTTTGTGGTTCAATAAATATTTGGGGGCGTGACTGATTTTATTGTTTTTGGAATACCTTCTTCAACTAAAAAAGTACGAACAATAATACACACGGAGACAAAATATTATTTGTGGTTTGTAATCTTTGGAAGACTAAAATCCAGCTCACTCGCGAGGCGGGGAAATGATCTGAGGCGTCACACGTACGATTCCCACTCTTTAAAAGCAAAAGATACAACTTCGTCAAATGGAAGCCAAAAGCAAGTTTGATTGCTCTAGTCACTTCTTATATTGTGGGTTGCATCTCCTTAAACGTCCATAGCCGATCAATCCTCACAAATTTCCATTAAGCACATGATTTCTAAAAGTACGAAGCGACTAAGGAGTTCATCATCCTTGCTCGTGACGCACAATGTTTTTAATTTGAATTAAGTATTCAGGAAAGTTGATGCGAAACGTAGCGATTCGATAGACCACTGGGCGATAATATAAATAATGGTAATGTAACCCTATGTTGCCTGTTCACTGCTATGAACTTAAGGATGTTGCAGACCTGTTAACTAAGCATAAGCATGTTAGAAGTGATAAGTGCCGTGCTTTTGATCCACCAGATGGCTGTGTACGAAAACTTGAAAA